GCAAAAGATCTTCAAACTGAAGAAGGTACTATACAGACTGAAACAAACACCCCAACTTGGTATCTTCATATTGAATCTTATTTCATTAGATCAGGTTCTCATAAATGCCCATACGAGCATACACTTTCATAAAGCCTGTAGATGGAGAGAAAATTCTCATTGTATAAATAGATGGTTGAATTTGAGATGAAAAATTTAGGTTTGATGTGTTATTTTCTTGGCATTGAGGTAGTACAATCAGCACTAGAAATTTTGAATAGATTTCAAATGGAAAATTGCAATCAGTTTGCACTCCCACTTCCGCATACTTGAACTTAAAAAGGATTTAAATGGAAATAAAGTATGCGACAGTCCATAAGCAAGGAAGTTTGATGTATCTATAACTTCAATCAACCCATATATAATGCATGTAGTTAGCCTTAATAGTAGGTATATGAAGAATCCAACAAAATTACACCTCCTAACAGCTAAAAGAATAATCAAGTACTTGAAAAGAACCATGGATTTTGGAGTATTTTATAAAAGAGGAGAACCAAAGGGTTTGATTGGGTTTAATGAGAGTGATTATGCTAAAGATGAAGATGATAGAAAAAATACTTCTGAATATGTTTTTATGATGGGTTCGGGTGTTGTTTCATGATTGTCAAAGAAACAACTCATAGTTACTTCATCTTCTACCAAAACTGAGTTTATGCAATTAAGCTATCAAATAATTTTGTTTTACATGGAAGAAGTAAGCACATAGATTTTAGATTCCAATTTTTACATGATTTGTGAAGGATGGTGTTATTGATGTTATCTATTGCAAGAGTGAGGATGATATTGTAGATATAATGACAAAACCTCTCAAGAATATTATGTTTGAGAAGTTTTGAAGCATGCTAGTAGTTTGTTCAAGAAAGGAAGTTGACTGTGATGTTGACAAATCGGTTGCTAAAGTTTTCTCTACTGTAAACTAATAATTGTAGGTTCTTCAATTTAAGGGAGGAAAATGCTAAAATAAGTTGACTTTAGAAATAACTCATTTGAAATAAATATAACCAATATATTACCTTGATGAAAATGAAAGCCTACCATTAAATTTAATATACATGTATATTTGCTTACTAACTCAATTTTAAATAAATATATATTATATGCATTAAAAATATATAAAAAAATGTTAAAGCTTATTATATAAGCAACCTAAAACACGTAAAAATATTTTAGAAAAGGAATAAATACAATGAGAGATGCAATACTTTCTCATTTTATACCTAATTTTACTACTTAATTGCATTACCATGTCAACTTTTCTTACCTATTTCTACTATTTCTATTTCGATGTTTGATAATAATACTATTATCTATCTTTTGCAATAAATAAATAAAAAATCTTATTCTTCCTTATAAAAAATAAAGCCACGTAATTACATTTGTTTTAGAGCGTAAAAAACACGCTATCCTACACATTATAGATTGGTTCAGACGGAGTTAATTAGTTTTTGTGAGAAGTCACGTTTAAATAATAAATAAAGTATAGTTTCAAAATTAATATACTAAATTTAAGTAATAAGTAAAAAAATTAATAGTAATTTTTACCATAGAAAGTGTAAATTAAAGCATAAAGTTAAAATGACTAGCAATATCCTTTTTCAATAAACAATTAAGATTTTGTAAAGAAATTTTATATATAATCCATTCATTTCGAAATCTTGTTTTTGATAATTTTTACAGAAAAAACTGGAAGTTAAATTTGGTTGATAAGCTTGACTTTATTCTCAAGACATATTGTGTATAAAAAATACAGAATTCTTAAAATTATAAACGCAAATCATTTTAATATTTCAAATGCTTTTATTGCTTCAACTATTCCACTAGTTTAAAATAAAGTCATTAAGAATCCCAAGATTATCGTCATTGAGTATAATTTTGTTGATTCATATATAAGTATACGTTTTTCTTAAATTTGTATGATTGTGTATATATATATATATATATATATATATATATATATATATATATATATATATATATATATATATATATATATATATTAGTAATAACTCTTTTCACTTTTTACATTAAATACGTTTTACGGGTCCTTTAATAAAAATGCCTTTGATTAGACTAAGAAAGTGAATAATTTACATTAATTTGTATATTACTTTATCACAATATAAAAATAGGGTTAAATATTAAAATTATTTTTAATATAATTTTTTTATTCTTAAGAGCCAAATTCTATTTATTTTATTCCTCTGTTGTTTGAAAAAAAAATGTTGAAATAGATAATTTTATAAAAATTTTAACACCCACAAAAGGTTATGGAAGGGTCGTTTGAATAGTGATGAATGACGGATGAACAACGTCATAATGATATTTTGATAATATTTGGAGTTAATTATATTTTCTTCTCTGATATTAAAATGTGGAGATTAAATTCATAGAAAGTAAATTTAAATAATAATAATAACACATAATTTAATTTAATATCTTTCTGTTATTTTACAACACGAATATAATAAAAGTATACTTTGTTATCAATCCGGTATCTTTTATATAATAAATAAGAACAATAAAGAGGATATAAAGTTCTAAGAATTATTGTGTATGCAGAAAGCCACAGCCATGATGGTGACTACGTCAATTGTTGGAATCTTTAAGAAAAATGAAACAAAATTGTGAGTGAAGCATGACGTACCATGACAAACTTATGCATTGAGTTCACATAGACGCATCAGAAACTTATTTTACGTTAGAAAAGTAAATGCTGAAAATTAGATATTAGGTTTAATTAGTTATCTAGATTAAATATTCTATAAACAGAAGAAAATAAAAAATAAAATAATTTTTTCAATTTAAATTTCTTATTAATTTGTCCTTGTTTAAAGAATTTTCTTCTTATTAATTTGTACATAAGATAGATTTAGCTTATAAAAAAAAATCATTTTTCCTTAAAAAGTTTATAAAGAAGTTTGATTAATATATTTAAAAGTAATTCATTTTATTTCATATATATATATTTATATATTTTTTAAATGTATAATTGATTTTCTCATAAGTCTTATTGTCTAAATTATAGTATTAAAAATATAATGTATAAAAACTTAAATAGAGACTAAACAATAAAGTTTTTTTAATTTATGTAAATCAAATGAATAATTTTATCCAATTATTATTAATGATAATATATATATATATATATATATATATATATAATATTTATAATTTTCTTTCTCTCAGTATTAGGATTATAAGATTGGTTGAAAGATAATATTTTCACGTGAATTGTGATGAATAGAAAAAAAAAGTAGAAACTTGTAATCAACCACGATTGTGTCATATTTTTATTTATTATAACAAGATTATCAAAATTGAACTCATTGGCCGATTTAATCAATTAAATTGGAGTTTCTTAAAAATTGAATAAATAATAAATTAGTCAAAAATCGAATAAATCGATAAAAATCAGAAAAATTATGAAATCGAATTGATAAAATGGTCATTTGAATTTTTTATTTCATTTTTTAAATAATTAAATGACTCATTTTATCTTATAATATTTTTTTATTTTTTATTTAGTTTAACCTAGAGACATATAAAATTGAAGAGAGAAATTTGTTTTTTTTATTAGTAGTAGTATTTTTCTTTCATTATAATATTCATCGTTATAACTGTTAATGGCACGTCATTTAGTATCTTTGATTATTTCCTTCTAACATCACCATTGTCTTCGTCGTTGTTTGTTATCATCATTATAATTATTCATAAATATACAATAACAGGTAAGTATCACAATATCTTAATTTTAAAAATTAATTTGATGAATTGAGAATGAGGGTTCCATAACATATCTTAAAATAAAATAAAATATATAAAATTTGAAGTTAAATATAATATAAAATATAGTATAATTTTTTTCCTTAATTGTTTTCAAGTTAATTGTAAAAAAAAAATTAATTATTTTTAAATTAGTTGTGTTTTTTTTCCTAATTATTTTAAAAATAGGTATAGCAATAATTTTTTCTCTACTTACTTTATATTACTTAGTTTAAATTTCAAATATTTGATGATAGGTTTATTTAACTATTTTAATAACCATGATAACAACTACTTTTTTTCAACTTTTAAGAAAGTTTTAATTAGTTACAATTCAATATTAATTAGCGCTTTTATTACAACCCAAGTATTTGTAGAATACTATGTTAAATTCAAAAGTCATATAATAAAAATGAGTTATCAATATAAGAAATGCAAGAAAGGGTTATACACAAAAAGGAATAAATGCAAGAAAAAAGAAACAAAAATAGTAAGTTTACTTTAATTGATGATAACAGAAAATCATGACAAGAATTGAAGGATGAATTTAGCAATTTCGCAACCATACCAGAAGTTACGGACACAATAATCATTATAAGAACTTCAAACTAAAATTAAAAAAATACATATTATTAGTTTTCATTTTTAATTTTTTAAAATAAAAAATATTTTGAAAAAACAATTATAAACAAATTTGTTTATTACTAAAAATTAAACAAATAAAAAATATTTTAAAAAATAATAAACATATATAATAAACAATCAAACACTTATTTATAAATTTTAATACATGTAAACCTATTATATAACTCCTATCTATGATCTAAAAAAAAAAAATTATCCAGGATTGAAGTGGATACTCTTATCTTCTGTGTCGATTGTCATCTAAGTCCATTCAATTCAAATGATTTTGATATCAAACAAATAGCATTGATCTGCGTAAGGAAAAAATGTGGGGGCATTACCAAGAATATTGGATAACCAATGGCAAACATCCCGAAATTGAAATCACTGTCACTAATAAAGGTTTTTGATAACAGGGCATGAATGTCCGGAAAAGCCATCAGCACTTAGTAGACAAGACCAGCTAATACAATAACACAAGAACACATAAGGAATTGATAGGGCATTTTTCAAATATGCCCTTAAGTTGCAAATCAACTTTCTAATCATTCCCAGATATTCCCAAAATTTTTATTCTAGTTGTTCTTTAGCTCGCTACTGTCTTCAATTTCTGTGCTCTTCAACGCTTTCAACTTTCTGTAGCCTATATCAGTTCCAAATATCCTAATAAGACGGCAAAAATGTGGTGTACCATTGTCAGTATAATTGGTTATTAAAACTTCAAGGCATTAACGCATCACAATATGTCAGTTAAGCCATTTTAGACTCTAACCATCATGAAACATAACAAGAATTACATGCTCAATACTTACCGGTCCATGTAAGTGAAAGTTGATGAATAATTACCAGACTTGGTGTACAGTAAACGGTGATGGTAGTCGTGGAAATCAGCTCTGAAAGTGAGGATACAAAGTTAAACAAGAGGCACAATAACAGAATCAACCAAATTGCTACTGTCAAGTGAAGGAGAAGGAAATTCACACTCACCCTCCATACAATGGAAGGAAGTTCGAAAGACTCCATGGAAAATGGTAACCACAATGAGCCTCAACTGTCTCTAGGACTCTCAGAACCATCCATAACCAGAGAGTTATCAAGTGGGGCCCAGTGATGGCAGGACCAAAAATGGTAGCAAAGCCAAGGAAAAGTATCTCAGCAGGATGAGCATATTCAGAAGTAAGTCCAAATGGTGTAGCATACCTTCACAATATTGCGAACATCTATAGTAGTCTATAGATAAGAAATATAATAAAAGCTAAAATCTGGTAACACACAAATAAACTTACTCATGATGAACACTGTGCACATGCTTGTATAGCCATTTTGTGTGCAATATTCTATGTCCCCAGTAGAATATAAAGTCCTCCAAAATGAAGTAAAAGATTATTTGAGTTAGAACTATTTTCCTGCAAAATCAAAATCCAATCTTGCTAAATAAGCTAAATAAAAGCACATTCCAGACATATCTACTATGAAAGCTCCTAAGATGAGACTCCTATGTTTAGAATAATGACATTACTTAAAAGAACCTGAATGTACCAGGACGGTAGGGGAAGACTACTCCGCATGCCCATGTATGTGAAGACAGGATATGAAAAAATCATAACAGGTAGATTGACACCAAAATGGTAAAGCAACAGGCGAACAATGCATTTCTCCTGAGCTGCAGGGCTATTATTTTTTGCCTGCAAGAGAGGAAGATTAGCAACAACAGTAAATCTTACACACTAATCAGACGAGGCTTCAGATACAGAAAAAGGACCAAGAGAAAGAGGACTAATGAGTATCATAGTAAGTGCCATACAATAAAATAAATAGGAAAATTGATTGAATATCAAGACTAGACAAAATTTAACTTCTGGTTTCATTTTTCTAAAAGTAACTTACATATTTACAAGTGAAATGGGAAACAATTTAAGGGGGTTTAATCAATACAGCATTCAAATATAGCAAGTCTAAGAAAATTATGTTACATCTTGAAGGAAAATGTTCTGTTCGAATCACCCAATCCAAAGGTTGGGAGTCAACACCAAAAGGCATATCAACACATGTAAAACATACAAATAAGGAAAAAGAAATTGAAAACGGAAATCTCAAAGAACGTCTAGTAAAGACCTGGACAGCATTGTTCTTAGCACCAAGGAAACAATGTAAAGGGAATAATTGATATGAATACAAGGTGGATGTGAAGGAACACGTAGATCAAGTCAAAGCAAGCAATATTGGAGCAGTTTACTTTGGTCATGACTGATGCTCATTCTAAATAGAAAACAAGAAAAGATAAGGCACTGGATTTCCATCTTGGAGAACAAAAATCAGGAATCATCCAACATTGAGACAACAATTTTCAACAAGAGCAGACCTGAATTTTGTACTTGCTCATCCACCCTGCCCTCTCAAGCCATATAAAGGGAAGTCCAGATAAGAAGAAAACGCCCTCATGTAGAAAGAAACTTCCCAAACACGCGAGTTGGAAGTCACTGAAATGTGTGATTAAGTACTGCAGCACAAAGAGAGCAAGAGGGTAAGTAAGAGAGAGAATTTTATTTCCCAAAAAAGTAAAAAGGACCAGACATCAATTCTACTTTTGGCAAACAGTACAAAATATGTAACCATGCAATCTACAGGACCTGAAAGAATCTGAAACCAAAAGGCCAAAAAAACAACAAAGCAAAGACAAATCACGTCCGTGAACATGCTAAATTATGTGTTCCAGCAAGGAAAGGATTGGACCTAGCTCCGTTCACAAACACTTCCTTTACACGCTAAGTATTGAATATCGAAAAACTGCATTTTATACTCCTAACATAATATTATAAGCACGGGAGTATTTTATAATTATAAGCGGATTAGCAAACTCTTCCAATAATAGACACATACGCATCTGAAAATCAAACACCATTGGATTCTCGAACACAGTTTGCACGAACTCTAGGAATCTATTTCACCATGCCAATACGCAACAAAAATCAGGAGCGGAAAGTGAAAAACATAATTTAAAAGATCAAAGACACCACAGTGATCTATGAGAACAATTGAAGTTCGAAAGATGGCAATGAGGCATCATTATGCATTGTGGCATGAACACAGCAATGAGAATACCCCCAACACAATCAATAAATCAATCAATGAATCAAGCAAGCACCGACTATGATTCCTAAACAAAACAAAACCAATAATGTACACGCTCTCCTCAGCTACATCAATAAAGAGAGAAGAAGGGTTCAATCAAAGGGCGAATCCGTCGGTGGAATTGGAAAAGATAACGGGAGCATGAAAAAGCGGTAATAATTGAAGACAATGAAAAGATGAGAACCTGCCAGCCAGATTCGAGGAGGGAGGCCATGGACGAGGGGGCGAGGAGAGAGAGTGTGTAAGAGAGAGTGGGAGGGAGTGGATGCAGAGTTGCGTTGTGGTGTGTTTGTGTGTATAAAATGAAAAGGGAGGAAAAGCCAAAACGTCAGAGCACCATAGACCGCAGAACCAAACAAGTGAAGACAGACTGTAATAACAAATAATCATGCCACCTGTAAATTGCATTTTTAATACTTTTTTCACCCTCACATTTTTTTTACTCATTATTATTTATTTAAAGTATTTAAGGGTTTTTAATTAGACCGTGTATATGTATAACTAAAAGTTACGTGAAATATATTTTTATAAATATGAGTTACATCTTAAATTTATTTTTAATCATTAATATTTCATTTTATGAAAAGTTAAAAGAACCAAACATGTGGATAAAAAATTAAAGGATGGTGGTTTAAAATGGTAGACAGAGAAGTTATTTGGCTAGTTACACGTGAAAAACATATCTAAAATTAAAGATACTTTTGTAAGAAAGTATGGAGAGTGAAAGTTTCATTTTTCAAATGGTTTATTATAATCTTAATTTATAATATAAATAAAATTTATGTTTTTATGAAAAATAATGTGAGGTTATTTATATTTACCAACGTGTCATTTTGCATTTGGTATTAGTAAATCGAAGTTTAATGCAATTTTTTAGGTAATGCTTTAAATTTAAAATTCATAGATAAATCTGTGATCAAAATATGATTTTAGTTAAATAAATATGACTTTATCTGATTTTAATCGTTATACAAATATTTACTAGTTTAAAAAATATTTATTTTGGTTAATCAATATTTTTTTATTTATCTGCCGTTTGTTTAATATTAACAGACTAATATTAAGATAAAAAAAGTATTGAAATTAAAACATATTATTATATATGATGTTAAAAAACAATTATTGTTTACTTTTCCTTCTTTAAATTGTTTAAAATTAATATAAAATAACTTTACTCATAATATTAATATGCTTTATCAGTATAAATTAAGTGTAAAATTATAAATACTAACATTATTTTTATACTTAACGGCAGTTCGTTTAACATTAAAAATATAAAACATTAATTAAGATCATTCAAATAATATAAAATATTAAAATTAAAATATTTAAGGTTTAGGTATGTAATTTTATTACGTAATATATTTATTATTTAATATAAATAAGATCATTATATATATTATCCAATAATTTAATTTTGAAATTTACTTTTTATTGAAAATAGTATTATTTAACTTAAACGCTTATAATATATTTTTATATATTAAATCAATACAATAATTTAAAACGATTGCAAAATCATTTATTTTTCTAATTCATAAATAGGATTTTATCTCTAACAAAATTAATAAAATATATTTTTACAAATTATAATATATTAAAAATATATGTAATATAACATATTAATATGTTTGTCACTGTCAGTTATTTACGTATAAAATGATAAACATCTAATTTAAAATTAAAATATATAAATAATAATTTAATAACATTTTATGTATAAAAAATATTAAAATAATATAAAATATATTTCATAACATATTAAATATATATATATATATATGTGTGTGTGATTGTCTTGTTTATAAAAATATTAAATATAATAATTAATTAAATTATAAACTTAAAAAGTAATCTATTTTTTAATATTTTATTATTAAATTGATTATATTTAATAATTATTAAATTTTATTAAAATAATAATTTATTTTTTAATAATTATATTCAAAAAAGAAAATTTAATATTTATTTCGTATGTATTACATATAAGTTAAGTATATTCTAATTATTAAGTCTATAAATATAAATATATTTATTATATTTTGTCTTTAGATATAAATTCCATGTTTTAATATATTAACAAATTGTTTTTTAATAATTTGATACTATAGTATCAAAATTAATATATAGAAAAAAATTATAATTTTATGTACAATATAATTATCTTGTGTAAAATATAATATTAAAAGTAAATGATTGAATGAAAATGTAAAAATATCATATATAATTACCTTTATAGATTAAACAATAAATATATTATTTAATTAAATTATTTATTTAAAAATATATTTTTATTTTAATTCAAAATATTGTTTGCTGTCTTGATTATATTAATTAGTATTTTTTTTCCTAAGTAGCATGGCTAGGGAATTTGATTATTGTTCTATAAGGAAATATTATTAATTATTTTTGGGTTAGTTGATATTAAGATTTGTGACAAGGACATGATAGGTGTTTAAATTAATAAAAATAATATATTTGATGAGAACTGTTGTTGATGAAGACATTAATCTCCTTTGAGAATATAAAGATCTTTAAAGTTTATGTATCCCTTTCTTAATTAAGGTTTTTTGCTTTATAATAAGAGTTTAGAATTCTTTACTAATTGTTTATAAAGTATAAAGTAATATATTTAAATTGCTAACATTAATAACGTGTATTTTGTTTTTACATATAGCAGGTTGATTTATGCTTTAAAAATATTCTGATAAATTATTTTATTTCTATTTTTTATAAGAGGTGACAATTAATAGTAAATAAACACAAGATCATTTACAACGTTCTTTATGAACTTTAATTCATATAATTTTATATTTATTTAAATTAAAAATATCATCAGATGTTTTTTTTAAGTATATAAATATACAGATAAAAAAACATCAAATAAAACCGTAATTTCAACTCACAAAAAATGAGTTTTTTTTTCTTCATAAATTCAAAGTGCTATAAAGAAATTGTATGAAAAAATAAGAATGTAAAAAAGTAAACTTAAATAAGATAATATAAGATGTATTATTTAGATGAAAACAAAAACGAAGTGGAAAAGTTTATCTTTATTTATTTAGATAACTAAAAGAATGAATAAGAATAAACACATTATTTAAAATAAACTTTTAGTAATTAATAAATTAAATTCTACTTAAAAATATAAAACTTAAACTAAAATTAATTTTTATTAAAGTTATAACTTTTAATTATTTTCTTAACATATATATAATTTATGATATAAAAGTATTCATTTTTCTAAAAATATAAAGTTAAGCTACAAAATACGAAACTTACAAAAATTACCTTTTATTTTCTTTTAAATGAAAATAATTTAATATTTTGAGTGTACCTTTTTCTATCAATCAATTTAAAACAAAATCATTATCAATCAACTAAAAATCACTGTTATTGTACTCTTTTAAGAGAATATAATAAAAAACAATAAATTTATTACGTATTGGTATAATTTTCAGTATTTATATTAAAATAAACATGGAGTTAGCTAATATTGATAGTTTGCATATAGACCCTTTGAAAATTTGTGACACATAACCTCAGTATGACAGCGTATGTGACGTGGCAGTCACGGATGCACAGGAAAAATCTTAAAAATGTGAACGAGGAATCTTTCATAAAGTTAATGAAATAGAGACAATGATTTGTCTATGCCAAAACAGAAGACGCTTTCATTCTCTTTCATCAACCTATCTATCTCATCCTTCTTAATCCTTTTCATCACGCGTGCGTTTCCTTCCATCATTCTTTTGTTTAGGAAGAAATATTTCCACCGATGACAGCGATTTGATATACGTTGATTTAAATAAATCGATTTTAACTTTTATTTGATGAAAAAGAAAAATATATAAGTTAACATATTTTGTCTACACAATTACCAATATTACTTATAATTATTATTATATATCTAATACTACCAACCAATAAATCTATCAACATATTAATACCAATAAATTGAGATAAATATATAATAATTATTTTATTATTATAAAAAATTATATACATAAAAAATAAAATATTTTAATATAAAAAATTTGATTTTATTTTAGTAATAATAATATAAAATAAATATTTATTATTTAAATGTTAATTTTTATTCTTAATTTATTATTAAACAAATTACTTTAATATTTATAATAAATTAAAATTATTTTAAATAATATATTTTTATTTACCTAATTAAAAATATATTTTATAAAGTAAATAGCATTTATTAATTTTTTAAATCAATCATAATAATTATAAACCTTATCCTTGTTTCACTTTTTCTATTATCTTTTTTTAATTCAAACATTTTTACCCTCTACTGTCTTTTTTTTTCACTCATAATCTAAACACACACCAGGCTTCACGTTTACCTAAATCAAGTGATTAAAATAATGGATTTTTAATATAATTAATAATATCATGAATAATATATTAGAAAAATATTTAAATATATCAATTTATTTATTCAATTATGTTTATTATTTATATATAGTAATTTTATGTTGAAGTAATTTTTTAAATTAACATAAAAAAATATATCAATTAATTATTTAAAATTATAATAATAAATAATTAATTTAAAAATAATTTTTTATAATAAATTTAATCTATTTATAGTTAGATTAGATTATTATGATTAGTTAGATTAAGTATTTTTAAAATATTTTAATAAAAAAACATTTTAAAATAAATATTTTATTATTTTTAATATTGATTTTAAAAAAATTATATTTTAACATGTTTTATCAAAGTTTAATATAGTTTATTTAAGTAAAAGTAAAATAAGATAGAAGGAATGAAAAAAAAACAAAAAACAAAAGAAACTAAGAGGAAAAGAGAAAAATAACGACTAAATGACGAGAGATGAGATGAGAAAAAAAATAATGAATAAATGGTGAGAGATGAGATGAAAAAGAAAAATGAAAAATGAATAAAGAGAGATAAAAATAAATAGATGGGAAGAAAGAAAAAACAAAATAAATAAATAAAAAGAGAAAAAAAATATTTTATTTTTTTATTTTTTATTCTTTTATTCGAATTTAGTATATGAACATTTTAATTAAATAAAATCTATCTCATCCTTCTGCTTTTCATTTTATGTGTGTTTCAACTTTTAAACATATCAGATTCTTAATAAAATATTGATTTTTATTCAAACCGCTTTTTAAGAAAAACTTCTTTTAAAATATTCTTTACGTAATGATAGAAAGGTTGTAACAAATTAAGACTTTTAAATCGTCATCTTGTTAACTTTTTAAAAACATAATATATTGAATAGAAACTTTTAAGATTTAATGTACAAAATGAAAAATACTAAAATATACAACACTAAATATAACACTTAGTAAAAAATTAAATATTTTTTATTTTTCAAAATTTAGTATAATAATATTAATGATATTTTTAATTGAATTCTTAATTTTATAATATTTACTATGTAACTGATTTTTTTATGAGTATTAGGATAATAACGTATAATAAATATACATCATATTACATTATTTTTACAGGTGATTTTTTTTAACCTTAACTAAAATTGGTCCACTAGATCTTACAGAAATAATTGTCCATATCGATTTTATCCGAATTTATTGGCCGATCTTTAAAAGTTTATTCATTATTAAATTTTATTTATAAGAACAATTTGTTATTAAAAAAAAGTCATATTACGTATATAAAAATTCAATAAAGTAATAATATCATTATCAATATCTTTCCATTCAACACCAATGACGTGCTCGGTTTTTTCGTTGAACATCAATCTAATTTCAATGTTGTACCGTTTTGTTTGGTATGGTCACATCTTCCGCGTGACAAATGGTACTTTAAAATTTGTTTGCCTTTTTAAAACTTGTTTCAATACATCTCAATTTAATAATTTTTCATTCTATCATTTATTTCTTTTAATTTAATAATTAAGATGATTTATAGTTTTAAATTATTAAATTAAAAAAATTACAGATACAATTTTTTTCTTTATTTTAAAATAAATAAATTATTATTATTTATTTATATATATCAAAAAACAAATATTATTTCAAATGATATTTAAATGTGTATGTCTTGAAACATAAGATTAAAATAATTAAGAATATTAATATATTTATTTATTGACATCATATTTTTAATTATTTTAAAAGAATATTTCATTATCCTTTAATTAAAATATACAAATAATTGTTCTGCATAAGTTGTGTTAAACCACGTTTCAAAAATCAAATAATATCATGAAAAATTGTATTATTTTTTAAAAAATATATTATATATAATTCAAATATAGTTATCATATCTTTCCATTTTGTATACATTATTACTCTAAATTAACTCATTCAATCATAATTTAAGATACAACATAAACAAATCATACAAATTAACACAATATGATCAATCCATTTTTATAATTCATATCTTTTAACTTAAAGTATTATAAAAATTGAAGAATAATTAGTTTCACTTACTCCAAATTTCACTATCTTCAAATTTCTTTACCCTCAAATTTGAAAGCCCAAAATCTCTTAATATTTTAGAAAGTCATATTTTGATTAAAAAAATCTTAATTAACAAATTAAACCTATTACAATTATTCTAAACTAGATATACAAGTTTCATTTTTACCTCATAAATGTTACATGCAAGACTCATAAACCCACATTAAAAAACTTTAACCCCAATTTTTGTAGAAATATTCTAAAATTGAGTAAAAAGCACTTGCTCTATTTAAATATTTTAGTCAAATGAAAATGTTATATTATCTATTAAGAGGACAATGTTGTGCTTGAATATAGAAAAAAGATAAAACATTAGGTGAAATTTTGAAAGAGAAAAATAATAAGATTTAAGGTTTACAGACACAATGATTCTTTAAAATGAAGTTTGAAATATATTATTTTTTTTAAGATTATTTTTATCCTTAAAAGTAAAAATTTTAAACTTTCTTTTATTTAACGACTATTTCTTTTAAAACTACTATCCTTATAATTAATATCTAATAATAAAAAAAACAATTATAAGTTATTATTTACTTTTAAAAGAGTTTTAAATACAAGAAGTAATAACTTTAAATTTTAAAAAAATTATGCATACGTATTTTTTAAATAAGTTAATATTTTTTTTATATACAACATCAAAATATAAATTTACTACTCATTTTATAAGTTCAAATAATAGTAGTTTAATATGTAAAGAAGTCAATAATTTAAATTTTTTTATTGGATGCAAATTAAAATTCTATATTTCAAAAAGAAATTATAAAATTTTAAATTTTCAACTTTTTAAAATTACATATTCAAATGATATATTTATCATAAAACCTTTTACATTTTTATGAAAATAAATTATTCGCTATAAATTTTTAAACACAAGTCATGCTAAAAATGATTTTTACACAATTTCTATTATTATTATTATTATTATTATTATTATTATTATTATTATTATTATTATTATTATTATTATTATTATATCATAAGATTTCGTGATTGAATCTTAGAAATAATATATTTTTTAAATTATTTAAATAGAATTTTTATCAACTTATTTATTCAACTAGATCATATTATATGCAGTTTTTTCTCATTCCTCATAATTATTTTATTTTTTTCTTTTTTACTTCTTATCTTTCTCTTTTCTAATGTAGGTCTCTTATTTTTCTTTTTCCTCTCCCACTTATTATCCTGATTAAATTATTATATTTAAATTTAATAAAAATATTTTAAAATCAATATTAAAACTAAAAATATTAATTATTTAAAATTGTAAATTTTATTTATTTTGATAATACGTAAATTTATTTTCTATAACATAAATAATTAATTTAAAATTATTTTATCATAATAATAATTACTTATCTAATTAAAAAATATCAAATATTTATGAGTTAAATGTAATTTTTACTTAATAATTTAATATAGTTATAATTAAATTGAATTATGATAATTAGTTAAATTAACTAATTTTTAAAAAATATTTGTTAAAAAATTATTTTAAATAATTTTTTTTAATAATTATAGCATAATAATAATATTTGTAACATCTCAACTTTATTCTATAATATTTTCTAAAAAAAAAGAGGAAGATAAACCCTAAATAAAGACAGATAAAAATAACAAAAAGTAAATAATGAGAAAAAAAATAAGAAAATAAAGAAAAACAATTATATTATGTCATATATAATTAATTTTGTGTATAAACAATAAACAAATTTAATTGAATAAATCAATACAATAAATAAATACAGAGAGATTCAATTTAAGTAATTTTTTTTAACTGTATTATTTATAAAATTGATTTAAGGTTTTGTAAAAGATGAAAAAAAAATTCTATTATGTATAAAAAATGTATTTTTACGTCACAAATTTCGGTAGCCGATGGAATATTTGTTTTAATTAATTAAAATTTTATTTTTAAAATTACACATTTTATGATTTTTTTTATTTTTATGTAAATTATTTAAAAAAAAACTCTCATTTTTGTAAGAATATACAAATTTTTAAACACCACTAATGACACAAGGAAACAGATAAGCACCAATGTGTAATGATAGAATTAACAATTAGCCTCGCAAGAAAGAAGCCTGGGTTTAAAAGATGCTACATTGGTTATGGTTTTAGTCACCATGATTGAGTACCTACAATGAGTCATTGAGGGGTGCACAATTTTTTTACTTCACCATATAACTTTCCAGCATCATGGTCCAATCCAATCACACAGAGGGGAAGAACTTGTTTAGATTGAAAGGAAGTGAGTAAAACTCCTCACTCCTTGTATCTGTCTTGAATGAACTGAATCTGTCCCACCAATGCATGCCTCTGTCTTTACGAGTTTGGTTGTCTTTGTTGTGCAATGTGACATCCAAGAACAGTGCCAATGAACCAGCAACAAATGCTTTTGATGAAAATGGGACATTGATCATGTCGTTGAACTGCCGAAAGGAGATCATTTTAAGTTGGTAAGTACTTCTGAAGTTTGAAAAACAATGCACACTCAACAATGCAAAAAAAGGGGATAGCATGAGAAAAGCTGAATACCCATCTGGCATGGGTGTGCACTGGACCATAGTTCTTAAATGCTGTATACTCGTCGAAGTATTGTGGTATAGAGAGGCCCATGAAAATAGAAAATCCCAAGATGAATTTAGTTCTGAAGCTGTTTAAATTGCAAAACTGAAGGAAACTGAGGCCTGCAGAACCTGTGTTGCAGGAAAATAAATTAATGATAACAATAACAAGGATTTAATGAAAGTATGAAAGAAAAACCAGATTCTTGAGTTGATCATACATACCCACATAAGCAAAGAAAAGGCAATATAAAGCTGCGACTATTGGTGCTGGGATTGAAGCAAACACAGCTCCAAATTTTCCTGTACACATACATATAGTACGTCATAGTAAGTACATTGGTTCATCAGGGAGAAAAAAGAATCAAAATTGCAAGCCTAACTAACCAAGTATGGAGAAAAAAATCATGAATCCTGCTGAAATTTGAACAACCCTTCGGCTACCAACTCTTGTCAAAGCTAACAGTCCAGCATTTTCTCTGGGAAAAAGCCAAGAATTCTTCTTATAACAATTCAGGCACAATATATATTCCAACTATGAAAATGATACCTCCAGCACATGTAAGTTTTGAATAAGAATCTTACACAGAAACTGATGATCCATTCCCTGTTCCAAAGATGCCAGCTAACAAAATTCCTACCCCCTAATGCATAAGAAGTAACAACTAGTGATGATGGACAAACAATAAGAATAAAAATTTAGAGCAAACAGAAAACCAACAAGGTACGATCATGATACATGCTGACATTCATTTCTTTTCATCTTTAAAATGATTTTTAAAATATAACTTAATATTTTATATATTACATAAAGAGAAGCAAACAAATTAGGCCGAGGGAAAATTTGCAATTCATAAACCATGTTTACCTGCCAACCAACACCACGGCTCAGAACCGAAGGTGGCAATGGAGTTGCACTTGCATACCTTGAAACAGCAATAAAAGCACCAGTTGACTGTTGAAAATTGAAATGCATGAGAAACCAACAATCGTTATGTAAGTATGCAACAAACTGCAAAGGCATGAGAGAGAAAGAAAGGGGGGAAATCATGCACTCACATGACTACATTACTTTTATTGATATTTGTCTACGACAATTTGGATGAAGTAATAACAAATTTCTTGAAGTGAAGCTATTAATATCTTTGAATATCTACTCATGTCTTTAGACTGAGAATAGGAGAGACTCTAGAAGTCATTCGTTTGTCAATTACAGTAAGAAAAAATATCATTAGATTATTGAGAACATATAACGACATTCCTGTCTCAACTTAAGTGTTCTGAATATTATTAGATTAATGAGTCAAGTACAACAGATTAAACACAAGATAATTGCAGGACAGTAGGCTAATCACATTTCAAGCTTCTAGAGAAGGGACAAAATTTCAGAATTCCACTGATTGTTCAACAGCAACAAATGTAGTTCGCATGCATAAAAATAAACCAACCTCTACTAGTGCAACAAATGAAGCAGCCATCGTAGCAAAAGCTTCCCCAGCATCAAATGTAGGAGCTCCCCATTGAAATGGATATGGGATTCTAATCCTGATTGTTACATTTTATCGGCAACAAAACATAGGAGTTAAACAAATTAAATCCATTTTCCCTTGTCATTTATCGAAATAGCAAAACATTAAAACAAGTTTCAAGCATCATCAATTTGAAGAAGAAACCGTTTCTATTATTGAAAATCATAAGACCCTTACCAAGGTGCACCACTTATAATGCCAGCACGATCAGTTCTGCAAGTATCCTGAGTTGTCTGTGGCACATGTTTATATGCTCCACCCACAGTGAGAAGGTGAGCATAAATCCACACAATTGTCACTGAGAATATAACTGCAAATCGATCAAAGATAGGCTTTTCTCCTTTCATCACATGAGGAATGTACTGGACAAAGGAACACCACTGCTTTAGAATATAACATTTAAATTGGAGAAAGTATAGCAAAGTAAAACAAGATAACATAATTTCATCTTTGGTGTGTGTGAGGTACTCGGCTATTTTTAAATATGTTCCAAGTGATGCAAGAGAAGGTAATTAAACATTATGACAATTATAGATCACCTGTGAAAATACTAGTAAGATTACAATTTCTGGCAGCCCAATCTCCACACATTTTGCAAGCTAGAATCAAAAGATATAATCAAGAAAGTGTAAATCATAACAATTATATAATTCATAATGTAAAGAAATCAGGAATAGTTAGAGTTGCAAATAGCAGTACCACAGGAAAGCCCAACTCATAAAGTCCAAAGCCTGACAGAGCAACCAGGGGAACAGCAGAGAGAGGGCTTAAGAACCTATAAAAATACAGCAAATTACTCATCAAAATTATTTGAAGAGTCAGAAAATAACTCTCAGAATGGTAAAAATCCTATCTATCAGTGTAATTGCAATTAATTTCCAAAACAAATTATGATCACAATCTGTGAGTTATCAAATGAAGGAGGTATTAGTACACTTTAAAATAATTAGAGCTGACCCAGGTCCCAAACAAGTAAAATGGAAACATCTCTTAACATCTGAAAGTACAAGTATTGCATGGATAATCTCAAAAAGCACAATGTGACTACAAGATGGAGCGAAAAACGATTCAAGGACCTAGACAGGAGCCAACCTCACTACATTGCGCCAAAGGCCACTGAATCCAAGAACAATTTGGAGGGTCGAGGCAACAATAAGCGCGCCCTGCGTCCCACGCATTATCCTCTCAAATCTCTGCATATTTATCAAAAATAAGAAACAAGGATGATGACACAACAAAAAGGGCATAGCAGTCTAATGACCCAACCTCTTGAGGATTCAGTATGTCACTGTAGCGACTAGCCAAAATGATTGAAATGGTAGTAGGCACAAAGGTGTAGGATCCTCCAATAACTACAGGTAGACGAGTTCCAAACAGTGTTTGGAACAATGTGTTCATGCCAGCTACAAACAACAGAGTCTGGATCATTTTTGCTTTCTCTTCCTATTGAAGCACAATTGAGAACATGGTTAGACTTAGGAACCACACATCATCATTGAAAATAATTTACTTTTTCTTTTTTCTTTCTCTTCAAGACTTACGTTTCCTCCTCCCATCTGAGTAATTAGAGAACTTGGTATTAGAACAGTTGTGCCAAGCATCACCAGGTAATGTTGGAAACCAAGTAGAATTGCCTCAGCTTCAATAACATAAAAAATGTAGACTCGATCATCAAAATGACTATGAATATTCACAATTTTAAATAATCAGTAATAAAAAAAAAAAGACTAGTTAGCATACCCCAGGAAACAAAACCGTGTTACGAAGAGTTTTTCCAAAAAAAATAAAAATAAAAAGCATCACCATCAACCACATTACCAATTAATAACCATCCATAAAAAAGAGGGTAAAGGGAGATCAAGTTTCCACAAAATAAAACAACAATGGATCACTGAAGCAGTGAACTCACGCCAAGGAGGAGGACTAGTGATGCAGTATGAAACATTTGGAAGTTGATCTTTCACAGGGTGTGGCTGAAGCTCTTCCGGTTTGGGTGGTGGTGCAGCTCCTGCCATGCTACTCCCTCCCTGAACCTAATTAACTTGGTCAATTCCAATGCTCTCAAAACCCAACGGAAAAAAGAAAAAAAAAGAGTTCAAACACGTAACAAACAATACCAGTTAACAGAAAAACCAGAGCTTTTTTTTGTTCTCCACAGACAAATATATGCAGGTTAATAAATGCCAATGGTGTGAAAAACAAGAGAAGAAACAAGATCAACACTTTCCTGGTTTTCTCTGTAGGGAGTGGGGGAATGCAGAAAAGGACAATGAACAAGTTCAAGGGTGACAGACACACCTTGTCAGTAACGTTATGCAATGCAGCAAATGCAGGGTGATTTCTCGGCCCAACAAACACAGTATGTGGAAAAAAGCAAAAGGAGTCAGACTCCTCCTTCCAACAATCAAACCAAATTGCCCTCTCTCCAAGTGACCATTGCTTTATATATATGCAAAAATATTCTAATATTCTAATGCCAGTTTTTTTTTTTTAATTATTACTACAATTACAAGTGTATGCATTTAATTAGAAGTGATAAAGCTTTGGTAAAAGTAGAAGCAGCTCCACTACCTTCACGTTAATAATTCCTTATTTAATTTTGTATTTATTGTTTGACCATTGTCATTAATATTTTTCAAAAATTTAAATAATTAATTAGAAACTCACAAAAACAGTCTCTTTCACACATTTCAGAATATAATATCAGTACCTTTTAAAAATGTTGTCATTATGATCTTTTTATTCAATATATTAAAAAGCTTATATCCTTTTAACACGTAAGAAAGTTTACCATTTGGCCATACTTTTGTCTCCCTTAGTGAATTGTACCTTAGTTCTGACCAGTGACCCAAATGATCAAAAGTGCTCTCTTTTACCTTGACCCAGAATTCGAAACATAAAATTATTATCTTTATTGCTAGTCATAACAATTTCGAATTTGGTGAAAAACCTACAAATGATTTAGCTTAATTTTAACTTCTCAATGCAGATAAAGAAACTGCTGAATGTTTTGTTTGAAAATTAATGGAAAGATGCAAAAATGGTGACTTTTCATTGAGTTTGCAGGTTTTGTGCAACCGTTTAGTCAATTATTTTACGCGTATTGTCACATATTAACACATGGATCTCCGTTATGTCTCACTTTTTTTCTTGTTTCATTGACGGTTCATATCCCTTGCCACTGAGTTGTCTTTCTTGGATGTTTTCTTCCTCTGCTCAATGAGGATATCCTCTTTCACGTGACAGTGATCACACTGAAATTGCATCTGTGGCAAAAGCTGGACACAGTTTAAAATTAATGTGTCATGCCAATATCAATATTTCTCTCTCTTATCAATACCTAGTACTAATTAGTGCTAATTTTTCAATGTTAATTATTATAAACTTGGTGTTAGCAAAATTATTAATAACAGCAATAATATATTTAACTGGGATTAAACAGTATCCAAGAAAACTTGGTGTCCAATAAGTGTAGTTTTATTAATATATATATATATATATATATATATATATATATATATATATATATATATATTCTTTATAATGTTAATTTTACGTGTACTTCTATATATTCCATTTTTTTAACCTTGTTCATTTGTTGATTTGGTTTTTACTTTTGAATAATCAGGGGAACATGCATATATCCCAAGTTACAAGGATCGTTGAATGAACAAAGATGGTACAGTGAGTCTCAGGAAGGAATAAATTCTTTTATCCTTTTATGTTAATGGCATTGGTTGCATTTCATTCATTTAGAAATTCACTCTCTAATAGATTTAGGTGTAGTTTAATCTTACAAAATTAATAATTTAATAAATTTTAATAAAGTAAATTTTCATATTATATTAGAAATTAGAGTTTAAATTTAACGCTTAAATATTAATTATATAATCATGAAAGTTAAAAGATTGATTTTTTGCTGATTAAATATAATACAAGTTACAAATCTAGGGATTAAATATAATGTCATTTTTATACCTTCAATAATTTTATGGTTTCATTTGCTTTGACAATTTATTGTACAACCAGATGAAATCCACGGTTTAGAACAAGGGAATAACATGGAAAGGGATACAAAAACACATTTTTCTTAACGAAATCAGATCAGATGCGAATAAAATATAATATGATTAATTATATATTTAATAATCCATTATCTGATAAATATTTTATTATACAAAATTATTATAATATTTATAAAGTTATGTTTTATATTATATTTTATTAAAATGTTATTAACAGTTTCTTTCACAGGTGAATTCTAAAATAATTGGTTCTCATATTTAGTTCATGGTCAGATAATTGATGTTCTGTCTGCAATTAAATTCTATAAATACTATTTCAACTGACACGGTTTCTTTTTATTTATTTATATAATAATAATAATAATATAATATAATATAAATTCAGCCTGAGTTGTCTCTATATAATTTCGGTGAGTTAAAGATGTTATTCGCCCTAATCTCACTAATTTTCTTCCCACGTGAATGAGTTCGATCTTAGAAAAATACTAAATTAAAATAATTATTAATTTAATTGAACTCTATTATAAAAAAATGAATTATTTTAAAAAAATAAGTTAAACTATTTTGTAAACTTAATTTATAAAAATTAAAATTAAGATAATAGTTTAATTGTTCTATTTCAATTATTAGGAGAATAGAAAAAAAAGTTATTTACATGCATTATCATTCAATACATTTTTTTAAGTCATCCAAAAATTTTAGGTGAATTTTTAAAGATGATTTTTAATAGATAAAATTAAACATAAGTTATAAAACACTATTTCTACATAAATTGTTAGTTTCTTTTTAGTATTAAAAATATATCTCAACGCACTATTATATTACACTATAGAAAAAATACAACAACTTTTTTTATGAGTAAAAAAAATAGTTTTTATTAATAGTTTGTTTCTTTTTCCTATCAAATACAATTTGATATTTATATTCCTTTATTAGATACAATTTGTCTATAAACTATTAATATCTATATATTGTTAATAAATGAATGTATATATAAATTTGAGTTGAAATAAATAAAAATAATCTATTTTATTAATAAAAGTTATATATTTATTAAAATATTAATTTTATATTTAGTTTCAGATCAAGAAAAAAAGTCAGTAATTATAACAATTTTATTAAGAGAGTATATATTTAGTGAAATATTAATTTTCAGTGTTAGTTTAAAAAATATACTTTAGAAATTAATATTCAATTACTACAGTAGTTCAATTAGTTTTGCAGAAGTATTTTATAGTTTGTTTGTTTTTGCACTAAATATAGCTTTTCAAATTCTCATGCGAAAAATTAAAAATATTATATTAGATAAAAATAATAATATTAATAATAGATTATATTAATTATAAATTATAATAATAATAATAATTAAAATAATAACAAAGATATAATAATAATTAAAATAATAACAAAGATATAATAATAATTAAAATAATGATACTAAGAATGATTTTAATAATAGAATTATTTTTTATTCTAACCCCAAGTAAATACATTTTTAACAATTCTTGAGACAGTGAGTGTTGTGGTGCTTGTTCGTTATAATGAACTGAAAAACATCATTTTGAGAACATTTTAAGAAAAGATTAAATTTAAAAGGTATGGCCATGGGATGAAGTGGGGTGAGACTGGATGGGACGGAGTGGGGTTGTCTCCCAATCTTTCTCCCCAACTTTTTTAATTGTTTCATCCTGTTAGAAATTAAGTTTTCATTGTTGGATTTTAAATTTCTCTTTTCTTTTTCTGATCTATATTATTTTTAAAAAATAATTATATTTATAATAAATTAATTTTATATATTTTTGATACATAAATAGATTTTTATAATTTATATTATTATTAATTAAATATATTTTTAAATTTATTATATTTATACTAAAATATATATGTAAAAAAATATTTAATCATTTTTTATTTATACATATATAGAATATTTATAATAATAATATTATTATTATTATTATAATACTGTATTCAAACCTATAATTACATATATAAGTTAATTCATTTTTAAGTTGATATTTAAAAATATGAAATATAATAGTTTATAAGAAAATATTTAATTAGTTCGAAGTAATAAAAGTTTAAATTATGAATTCTTTTTAATCCTTTAAAATATAATTATTTTATTAAGATAAAATTTGATATATAACAAATAAAAATAATAAGATCCAAAAAATGACATAATAAAATCTAATAAATATAAATTATAAATAAAATAATATTAGTTACTACTAAGATTTATGTAAAATATTTAGAAAAAAGATAAAGAAGAAAAAAAAATTTTGTGTTCATCAAATTGGTTGAAAAGATTGAAAAAAAAATTGATTTGAGAGATTAAGGAAATGTGAAAAACGGAGAGGTAAGAGAAAGAAAATAATGTAATAAACTAATTGATATAAAAAATTAAAAAAAAAACAAAAAAATTAAAAAGTGGGTAGAAGAAAAGTAAAAATGATGAAATATAAAAAAATAACCTTATATGTAATAGAAAAAGAAAAGGAAATATTTTTAAAATATTAATATTTTAAAATTTAAATTTAAATATAAAGTTGGGGGTGAGAATGAGATCGGGATAGAGATTATATTACCCATCTCCACCTTTGTCCCTAACTTTTTAAAAGCGGGAAAAACTCAAACTTGTTCCTACCCGTTCAACTCGAATTTTTTCCAGTCAAACTCAGAATAAAGATGGATCGGTCCTCACGGTGCAGATTTAATTGTCATCCCTACACGTAACATAATATGCTTTTATGCTTGGAATTGTTAGGCAACAAATAAGGATTTAAAAATTTTGATGTATAAGAGAAATCAATTAATATTTTATTACAGCAAAATATCGTTAAGATGTCTTAGAATAAAACAAGATTAGCTCCTTTACTGAAATTATATTTTTAATTTTATATTCTAATGATATTTTACTTACAAAATAATCTCAATTTTTTTTTACTGAGATTAATAAGTTTTTTTTTATTAACTTTGAAATGAAAGACGTATATAAGGTAAGTAATGTAATAAGAATATAAGGACCGTTTCATTTAGTTTTTTTTTTTTTAGTTTTTAAAAATAATTTTGCACATCAATGCTAAAGAATAAGTTGGAGAAAAAATCGTTTTATAACTCTATTTTAAAAGCTATTTTCAATGAAAGAAGATGATTGCAACGACTTTGATAATATTATATGATGAAGGTAGGTAATACAACAACTCATGAAAATACACATTTAGCTAATGAAAAAATAAACTAATTTTATCAATTTTGGTTATTTGATTTTTAAAATTTTAAAACAAAAGATACCTTTAATTGAAAATTATTTTTAAAAATAATAAATAAATAAACTCTAAATATTTCAAAAACAAATAAAAATGATTGTTAGACTTGTCTCAAGAAAAAGTATATTAACAAAGAAGTAGGGAGATTCAAATTAGAAAAGGTTCAACGTCACTTGTTAAAACTTGAAAAAAAAAATCTAGTCTCACTCAAGAATAATTTGAGACAAAAACAAATGAAAGAATTTTTTTATACATTTATTTATTATATAAAGAGAATTCGAGTGGCTAAAATTTTATATTAGAAATATTTTAATACAGATAATGAATAGACAAGTCAAGTTCATAATTTTGTATTTCATGTACAATTGATTTAGGTTGATGGAGAAGGAAGGAACAAAACAAACGCAAAGTATGAACTTCTATTTTTCTTAGAGGAAAGTACAGGAAGAAAGATGTTTTCATGAAGGGAAGAGGTAAGTAACTAGGCCCGCATCTTTCGTTTATCTTGATAGCATCTAAAACTTCATTTTGAACATGCATAAAAACAGAAACCCACCTTATGCACATGGATTTATTTTTATCATTGGTTTTTTATCACAAACATGAAGTTGCTCTTACGTAAAAATGGTGCTCAAAAACCAGTAGGACAATATTTATGGGAACCCTGCTTCCTTGTGCATGCACTTTCTTCGGCATATATAAACTATTTCAATATTGATTCATAAATTATCCCTCCCTTACTGATTGAGAATCCTTGACTTGCTTATTGATTATTCCCTTATTATGCTTTTTCACATGTGAAGTCTGCACAAATATTGTCCTTGTTATCTTCTTTCCAATTGCTTTATACAATTCATTTGTGTTTTTCCATCGTGCAGAGTGACAATATGGCTGAGTTTGTCCTTGAAAAAGTTATCGGGAATTTGAGTTCACTCGTTCGAAAAGAGTTGGGACTATTTCTGGGTTTTGATCAAGACTTGGAGAGACTTGCTAGCTTGTTCACTGCAATCAAGGCTACGCTTGAAGAAGCTGAGGAGAAACAATTCTCAAACAAAGCTATAAAGGATTGGCTGGAAAAGCTAAAAGATGCAGACATTCTGGATGACATCATTGATGAGTGTGCATATGAAGCATTGAGGTTGGAGTACCAAGGGGTCGTCAAGTGTGGTCTATCAGACAAGGTACGAAGCTCTTGCTTATCCTCTTTTCATCCCAAATATGTTGTTTTCCGCTACAAAATTACTATGAAAATGGAAACGATAAGTGAGAGATTAAAGCAAATTGCTGTTGAAAGGACTAATTTTCACTTGACTGGGAGGGTTCCTGAGAGAAGGAGCGGAGTCCTTGAGTGGCGGCAAACCACCTCATTGATCCCTGAACCACAAGTCTATGGAAGGAAAGAAGACACTGATAGAATTGTAAACTTTTTAATTGATGATGCTTCTCATTTCGTGGATTTATCGGTCTATCCAATCATTGGTCTAGGTGGACTTGGAAAACAACACTTGCCCAATTCATCTTCAACCATGAGAGGATAATCAACTACTTTGAGTTAAGAATTTGGGTATGTGTTTCGGAAGATTTTAGTTTGACGAGAATGATAAAAACTATCATTGAAGCGGAGTCTGGGCATGCCTGTGAGGATTTGAATCTAGAGCCAATACAAAGAAGACTTCAAAATTTGCTTCAAAGTAAACGATATTTGCTTGTTTTGGATGATGTATGGGATGATGAGCAAGAAAACTGGTGGAGGTTGAAATCTGTACTGGCTTGTGGGGCGAAAGGTGCTTCCATTTTGGTGACTACTCGTCTTTCAAAGGTTGCGGAAATCATGGGATCAGTACCTCCTCATGAATTATCAATGTTATCCAACAATGATTTTTGGGAATTGTTTAGAGACCGAGCCTTTGCACTAGATGAGGCTGAGCAGGTGGAGCTTGAGGTCATAGGGAAGGAGATAGTAAAGAAGTGTGGTGGAGTACCTCTTGCAGCCAAGGTATTGGGAGGTCTTTTACGCTTCAAAAGAGAGGAAAAAGAGTGGCTCTACATAAAGGAAAGCAACTTGTGGAGTCTACCTCAGAGTGAAAACTCTGTAATACCTGCCCTGAGATTAAGTTACTTGAACTCACCACTTAAACTCAGACAATGTTTTGCTTATTGTGCAATATTTCCCAAAGATAAAAGAATAGAGAAGCTATATGTAATTGAACTTTGGATGGCTAATGGATTCATTTCATCTAATGAAATATTAGATGCTGAAGATGCGGGTGATGGAGTGTGGTATGAATTATATAAGAGATAATTTTTTCAGGATATTGAGACAGATGTATTTGGCAAAGTTAGAAGTTTCAAAATGCATGATCTTGTTCATGATCTTGCGGAGTCTGTTGCAGAAGATGTCTGTTGTGTTACAAACAACAAGAGTATGACTACTTTGTCTGAAAGCATCACCATGTCTCAAACCATTTGTGGATGACTAATGTGGATTCAATTAAGTTCCATCAAGTAAAATCCTTGAGGACATTTATATACACCGTGTTGATTTGGGGTATAGTTAGCATTATTCTCCTGATGCATTCAAAAGTTACTCTTTGCGTGTGCTTCATTGTCATCCAAGAAAGTTGCCATCTTCAATTGATCATTTAAAACATCTAAGGTACTTGAATCTTTCTTGGGGTGAATTCCAAATGCTTCCAGAATCCTTATGTAAATTGTGGAATTTGCAGATATTAATTTTAGATCATTGTCCTCATCTCCATAAGTTGCCTCACAGTTTGATATATTTAAAATCTCTGCAACAACAATCTTTAAATAACTGCAACTCACTATCAAGCTTGCCTCCTCAGATAGGGAAATTGACTTCCCTAAGGATTTTAAGCATGTACTTTGTTGGGAAGGATAGAGGGTTCCATTTGGCAGAATTGGGCATTGAAGCTTAAAGGAAATCTTAAAATAAAGCATATGGGGAAAGTGAAAAGTGTAAAGCATGTCAAAGAAGCCAATATGTCAAATAAGAAACTAAATAATTTGTGGTTGTCGTGGGACAGTAATGAAGAGCCTGAATCACAAAAAAATAATGAGCACATTCTTGGAGTGCTTCAGCCTGATACGCAACATCTTCAGTCTTTGACTGTGGAAGGATATCAAGGTGTCTATTTCCCACAATGGATGTCTAGTTCTTCTCTCAAATATTTAACTTTCTTAAAGCTGCAGAACTGCAGAAACTGTTTACAACTTCCACCTTTGGGGCAACTTCCTTCTCAGACAAGTCTATCTATATCTAGCATGATTCATGTAAAATACTTACATGAGGAGAGCTATGATGGTGCAGCTTTCAGGGCTGTAAAGGATCTTACACTTTGGATGCTGCCAAACATAATAGGGTTACCAAGGGAGGAGGATGGGAAAAACATGTCACCATGCCTTTCAAAACTTGAAATTATAGAATGTCCTAAATTGTTGGGTTTGCCTAGTCATCCATCTATCATTAATCTAATTATATATGGGGAATGCAACCAAGATTTACTAAGTTCAATTCATAAACTCAGTAGTCTTAAATTCCTGTGGTTTAATAATAATGAAGAGTTAAGTTGGTTTCCAGATGGGATGCTACAAAACCTTTCTTCTCTTGAGGGACTAATTTTAAGTGGGCTCTCCAAACTTGAGGTACTCCCAACTGAAACTATTAACCTTAGTTCTATCCAATATCTGTCTATCCCGGACTGCAACAGCCTCGAGTTATCGTTGCATGGGTTGCATCCTCTCAAGAGATTAAAAATTTTGGGGTGTCCTAAGTTCAATGCGTCGGCAGGTTTTCAATGCCTCGAGACTTTGTTAATTGACGGATGCAGAGAGGTGGAAGGTTTGCATGAGGCTTTACAATATATGTCTGCTCTCAAGAAGTTAACCTTAATGGATCTTCCAAACCTAGAATCCTTGCCTGATTGCTTTGGACACCTTCCCTTGCTTCACCAATTGACTATTGTCAACTGTCCCAAGTTAACCAGCCTTCCAGCAAGCCTAAGCCTGAGCAATCTGAAACTATTGCGTATTTGTCGTTGTTCTGAGTTAGAGAAACGATGTGAGAAGGAAACGGGAGAGGACAGGCCAAAAATAGCTCACATTCCTGATATTAAAGTATGGCACTGAAGTGTATGATTCCAGTGCAGATACATTCTGGATCCCTCCTTCCCCTATACTTTTTCCTACCATTGAATCTTTTATATCTTTTGTACTTAAAAAAACAACAAATCGCTTCAATTACTTGATTTCTACTTACCAGCATTTTGATGACATCATATTAGTGGTGTTTGAATTGTCCGATGTCGTTAAGAAAGGAAACAGATTTGTTGTTGTGACTATTCCACTATGCAAAATTCTTATTCTGTTGTGCTGCACTACTTTTACTTCTCCTGAAGCTGGAAATTATATTCTTTTTGTGATCAGTATTCTTGGACTTGGAGATCAAACTTTAGATGATTCGTGCAGGTGGTGTTGTTTGAAGATTTTGGTTTGTCTTCCTTTCAGTTAAGTTCAGAGTGTAGTCTATTTTTAGACTTGACAAACAGGTTGCTCTAATCTTCAGATATTTGCGCAGTATGCTCCTTTGTTTATTTGACCTTCTATGTATTAAAAAATAGTATGTATGGTGTACTTCTTTATTCATGTGATCAAGTCCTACTTATCAATGTATTTAAAACTCCACTACCATTATTTGAGCATACAGGAAGCAAAAAGCCCCTACGTTCCCCTCTCCTTTATATGTAATCTCTATTTCTCTTTTTCCTTTGTGATATTTTGAGAGAAATCTATTGTGGATACTATTATGTAATTGTAGTAAGAAGAGTGATTGGATCTAACCCATTTTTTTAATATAAATATTCATATAATTGTAAATCTAATTAAATGAATCAAAACTATTTATGTAAATTTTTTGTGTTCTTATTATTTATTTTCATTTTGTAATGTATTTGTGTTCCTTTAAGAATTGGAATCGGGAATTTAGTTTTTTTTTTTTTTTTCACACGAGGGGGAAACAAAGGAAGAAGATGGAAAAGTGAAGTTTGACAAGTTCGATAAAGCAATTTTGAATTTTGGAAAACGCAAATTGAAGATTAACTGTATTAGAAAAAGTTGTATCAGTCTTTGCATGAGAATAAATCAGAAACGATGTCTCAGGCAGATTAAGAGTTGTTAGATCGACAGACTGGTGTCGTTAGATTAACATTGGTGAAAAATGTTGTTTACAACATCGTTAACAAGTAAATGACGTATGATTTGATAAATGCATTATCAAACATGTACGAGAAGCCAATAGAGAAGGAAAATGTAGTGTTAGAAGACATTACATCTTACAGGAAAAGGTGGGAGCTCAAGAGACGTGATTATCAAGGAGACCATGCTTGTCACCCTAGTAGTTGATGTGAGGAGATTCAACAAAGTTATTAGGTCTCCTAAAAATTGTTCTCCTTTAACAAATGGAGAACCTGTGTTATCATGAGACAAAACAATATAGATGGATGATGCAACTGAGTGGAGTTAGCCATGCAAAAGGAGATGAACTCACTTGAGAAAAATAAAATTTGGTATTTTACTGACCTACCAACAGGAAAGAAGACATTATAGAACAAGTGGACATTTAGGATCAAGGAAGAATTAACAGTAAGATATACAATGCAATGTTAATGGTGAAAAGTTTTAAACAGAAAATGGGTATTGATTATAATGATATTTTTTTCTCTTGTAGTTAAAATAACTACCATTAGACTTGTGTTGAATATTATGATTGCAGAGGATTTACATCTAAAACAACTAGATGTTAAGATAGCATTTTTACATGGTGACCTTGATGGACATCTACATGATACAACCAGAGGGTTTATAAGTGGTAGGGGAGGAGAAATTGATTTGCAAGTTGACCAAGAGTTTGTATGGGCTTAAGTAAGCATCAAGACAATGGTACTTGAAGTTTGATAATTTTATAAGTAAAAAAGGATACAAGAAGTGATATGAATCACAATTACACAAGGGGTAATTTAGGATCTTTAGGGTTAGAACCTTGTAAGAAATTTAAGAATTAGAAAGAAGGTGGAAGGAAAAAATCACTCTTTCCAAGGGAGGCAACACGTCCTTTGATACAGCCAAGGGTTCTTGAATCACTCTCACTAAGATAAAAGAGATAAACTCTAATATTTCTGAATAAAATTTCACTTGTTATTTCTTGATAAGAATGGTTCAGCTGATATAAAAACTTTGCCATCAGAATTACAAAAGACTCAATAAAAGAAAATAAATACTAATAATAACCCATTAATCTAGGAATTGAAAACTATTTAATGAAAACAAATAAAGGCTAATAATGATTCATTAACCTAGGAATTGAAACTACTTAATGACTGATTGTATCTGAAACTGTGGCAACCAAAAGTCAATCAGCTATGCACCCCTTGGTCTCCCAAAGGCTGATGACTAAATTTTCAATTGGGCCCTTATTACAACTTAAAACAAAATCAAACTAAAACCCATTAATTGATTAATTCAAAACATAATTTGGTCAACCAACAATATTTGTTGAAGAACATCATTTATTTCCCTTGCTCTAGCCCTTATCATAGGTTATGTTCACATCAAGAAGTGTGTCATGGATCAATGTTGTTATATGAAAAATTTTGGTTTATCCTATAACATATTACTATTAAATGTTAATGACATGTTAGTTGTACGTTCTAATATGAATGAAATTAATAGATTGAAGATAAAGTTGTCTAAAGAGTTTGAGATGAAGGATTTGGATATTACAAAACAGATTTTGGGCATGAATATCAGTAGAAACAAATTTAAAGATTCTCTAATATTATCTAAAGAGAAGTATATTATGAAAGTGTTAGAAAAATTTAATATACATGATGCCAAAATTGTAAGTACACCTTTGAGAGTTTACTTTAATCTCACTAAAGAGGAGTCACTTAAGACATATGAAAACAAGACAACAATGACAAAAGTTCCTTATGCATTTGCAGTTGGTAACTTAATGTATGTAATGATATGCACTAGATCATATATTGTTCATTTAATTGATATCCAAACTTTTAAGAAGATGAATGTGTGGTTGCCAGAAGTGCAATCAAAACCACCATATTAGAATTGAAATTCATATATATCCAACCTTGAGGCAAAAAAAAAGTGCAAGACTGCGTTACTCTACTCACATCCATACTAATGATGTGCGATAAGTGGTGAAAAAAGCAACCTCCAACACCAATGCAGCCTTGCCTTTTACTCCTGAATGTGAAGAGATTGAGTAACCAAATCTGTCCAATTGCAATTGTATTGCACCACACCAGATCTTAGATTCTCAACTCTATGATGGACATCAACAAAAACTTCTCTATTCCAGGGTCTTAAGGCAATCTTCAAAGCTTTAAGTTTCTGGGACAGAATGAACATAGGGCATCTCACTCCACACAGTCCTGCTCCAAATCTGAGATTTACCATACTAATCTTCTGCAAAATACTCTAGTCTGAAACATATTTTAAGTATCTTAAACTTTTTCTAAATTTTATAATAAAAAATACGCCTTTTTTGTTCTCTCTCTCTATTTAAAAAAAAAAAGACTTTGCTTGAATATCAAAAGGTCAAAGTTACAATTCTTTGAATTTTAACGAGAAAAAAATGGAACACTTTTTCTACATATCCAAAAAAAAAAAAAAATCTACCAAAAACACCCTTTTATAATTACAGGAAAGATAATGCAAAATATAAAAATTATATCTGAATTATCCATTTCAAAATATGTGACAAAGAAAAAATAGTGATCCACTTTTTATTGAGGATTATATACATTTGTTCTTATGATCGATTGAATAAAAAATGGAACCAGTCTTCGACAACAGTATTTCTTCTACTATTTTATAAGTTTTTAGAGATACTTTTTTGTTCTAGATAATTTTTTTTTTTAAATTACATTCCAAACTGAGAAGGAATGGTCACCAACAATTAACTCGAACAACCTTAAATTGAATGAGTTGTGTTGGAAGTTTCTAGGATGGTAGAGTTTTGAATTTTTGTCCCTTGCAAGATCTGGTCATGGGACTGTGTATACAATGTATTGCACTGTCGGCATTCAAACAAAATTAGTCTCTAGAATTCAAAAAAATCTTTAGAGTCTACAAATTTCACCCAAAGAATTAAAATTTAATTTAATTTTAAGAAATAATAAATAATTAAAAAATTTATTTTATTAAAAACTAATTAAAGGAAATATATATTTAAAGGAAAAAAAACAAGGATTTGTTTATTATTATCTAAAGTGAATTATATATTTCATTTAAATTAAATGTAAACAAGATTTTACTTTCCTATTTTAGTAGTCTCTTATGCACTTACATCATTAGATAATTATATTTGTTACAGGACTTTCTACATTGAAAGGAACTTTTTGACAATCAAATTAGAAGAAGTGGAGCACATGAAAAGGGTTCCCACGAAATAATAACCTACAATCCTAGCAGTATGATTGATCACTGGCCCACTTATTTAAACTCTAGGACACTGTGCCCCTACGTGAGGTACCAATTTTGATTTACAAGGGACAGCATCCTCAAAAAAATTTTGAGTTAGGGGAACTCAAGAATACGTGGTTTATACTTTCTATCATTGAGGCTCTGGTCCTAACCCAACCGACACAGAAAATACGAAAGTGAAAAAAAAATATATTAGAAGTGCACTCAATGTTTTTATAAAATATATGTTTATGATGGATAATCCAAGTACAATTTAAGATTTAAGTTGAATAAAAATATGGAATAAAAATAAGAAAGTTATACAAGATATAATAAAATATAATTCGTAACATATGATGAAATAAAATATATGTTTTGAATTGAAAATTCTATCAATTTTTTATGTTTCTTTTATATGAATTTCTTTCGAAAGATCCAAATAAAGTTGAAAATTAATTGATAATATGTTAGATCGAAAGTTTTTTTACAGAGTGAGTTAATATTAAAACTCGAGAGAATATACGAATACGAAAGAACTCATGTTTGAAAGGAAGATGGTTAGAAATTATTCAAATATAAATTAAATTTTACATTAAATCAAAATAAAAAATTAAATAATATATAAAAAGATATGATCCATAATTTAATATATTAAAGTTTTAAATTGAAAATAATATCGATATCTTGTCTCCACTGAAAGAAAATATGTGTGGTAGTACTGGCTATCTTAGATGAATTGTGAGTGGAAACCTTGAACTCATTTTGTCTTCGTTAAGAACTTGCATGTGCCAGTATAAATTAGTTTCTTTCAAGCTTCTGCTGTGGAACACGTACAACAACCAAGCTCAATAAAGTGATCTTTAGCTTGAAATAAGTCAAATTTAACTTTTCAAATTTAAAATACTACCAAATTTCTCTTCCAAAATCTTTTAACCTAAAAGTTAAAATTAATAATCACAACACGTTAAATATTAAAAAATATTAATTTAAAAGCTTATCAATAAGCTAAGAGGGTTTACGTATTCCACTGAACTAAGTGATACATACAGTGAAATTAAAAAAAAAAAAAAAGTACTTTTCAAATCAAACAATGAAACAAAAAGTACTTTTGAAATTGAGCAAAGGACTTCTGCATTTGTCCTTTACAACCTGTTTTCAAACAGGAAACGGTGGCCCATGTTCATGGTCAGACATATTTATCAACTTTGAATCTCTCTTTATTTTCACTAAGGGAAAGATTAATAACTCACGGTATTTCGGGCTTTTCAAAAACACCATGAACCACTTTTACAAAAGTAAAGAAAAGCATACACTTTTGAGAACATATATGATAAAATATATTTCCATTAATCTTAATATATGCAGCACTTTCCGTAATTGACTGGATGCCGTTATTGTCCGTTAAGATTAATTTACTGAATGCTGTTTCTACCCGTTAGAATGCAGTTTGTATGAGTTATGATATTAATTTATCTGGCAACGTTGCATTGCACGTGCTGATCTTTCCTGCATTAAATCAGGCGGGGACAATGATTGAATAGAAATCGGATGTGTAAAATGCCAAAACAGAGTTTCTCAGACAGGAAATTAGAAGATCATCGAGATCCAATAGTGCATTTTACAGGGTCTCTTTTCTTCATTCTTCTCAACCGACAACAACACAAAACAGTCAAAAGGAGCTGAAGGAAGAGAAGAAAGAAAAGAAGGCTTTGAAAAATGGGAAGCACACACTTGTTTCTCAAAGATAAATCGGTTCCTTTCACAAAGAGATTTGTTTTCTTCAGCTTCTATGTTCTGCTTCCTGTAACTCTGCTTTCTGCATATCTCTACCTTCTCTCCCTTACTACACAATCCACCACCTACCACCCTTCTCTTTCTTCCCCTCCCCCATTTTCTTCTCATCCTCCTCTGCCTTCATCGTCTCCTTCTTTTTCTACAGGTAAGTGCATGAACTTCATTTCTTAAAGCTATAGAATTGCCTGTGGATTTTGTTTTGCCTTGAATATATATATATATATATATATATATATATATATATATATATATATATATATATATATATATATATATATTACACTTGATATTATGTTGTTTTATCATTTAAATTAAGGAGAAAAATTATATGCAATTTTTTTAGGAGTTTTGAGTATTATATTGTTTATGGAAGTTTGATTAAATTTAGAATAAGTGAATTTTTAAAAAATTAAGTTGGTAGGATTTTTTTCTTATAGAAAGCAGAAAACTATTTTTTTTTAAATCAATATGTTAGATAAATATATAAAAACAAATATAAGCTTTTTATTTTGTTTTAAAAAATCAAATAAAAAAGTACCGACCAAAACTTAATCATAATGAAAGTTTTAATTTTTTTTTGGTTATTGTATTTTTTTATGGAGAAGTAAAACTCTAATTTAATTGTATACTATGCAAAGAATTTACAGTAACTTTTACATAAGTATAAAATGCATGTGTTTAAAATATATAAGTTCAAGTTAAAAATGACATATTTCTCTTTTTTGTTCTACTGAAAAAAATTATTTTCTTACATTATTCATTGACTTGACTTTCTTTAAAACAAATACTATGGTGAAGTTATTACAAGAATTGGGATGAATTGTAATTTTAATTTTCTCATAATTGCAACTAGTTACTTTAGGAGGATTAGTGACATGTTGGTTTACCTGACTTTATTTTATTTCATCCTTGGTTTTGGCAGAAAAGGACAAAGTTTACCATCACTCATGTGACTACTCTAATGGTGATTGGGTCCATGATGAAAGTGGTCCTTTATACAATGTAACTACGTGTGGTACAATCAAAGAGAGTGAGAAATGCATCTCTAATGGAAGGCCTGACTTGGGCTATCTCTATTGGAGATGGAAGCCCAACGAGTGCAGTCTTCCAAGGTTTGAACCTCTCACTTTTCTCCACCTTGCTCGGAACAAACACATAGCATTTATAGGGGATTCACTTGCCAGGAACCAACTAGAGTCTCTTCTTTGCATGTTAGCCACTGTTTCAACCCCAAACCTTGTCTACAAAAGTGCCAACGACAACAAATTTCGTCGTTGGTACTTCCCATCTCACAATGCGAACTTCTCCTTGTATTGGTCACCTTTTCTTGTGCAAGGTGTTGAAAGATCAAACGAAGGGCCTTATTACAACACCATGCATTTGGATCATGTTAATGAGAGGTGGGCAAGGGATTTAGATTGGTTTGACACGATTGTGGTGTCATTAGGGCATTGGTTTTTGCTTCCTTCTGTTTACTACGAGGCTGGTTCTGTCATAGGTAGCCTAAATTGTCCTCATCTGAATCATACTCAGATGGATTTTTACCTTCCATTAAGGAAGGTTCTGAGGACTACTCTCAGTAGCATAATTGAGAGAAAGAGGAGTAAAGGAAAGAGTGAAGTAGATGTTATAGTGAAGACATTTTCACCAGGTCATTTTGAAGGTGATTGGAATAAGGCTGGAACTTGTTTGAAGACTAAGCCTTATAAGAAGGAGGAGAAGGAAGTAGAAGGTATGGAAGCTGAGATGAGAAAGATTGAGATAGAAGAAGTGGAGAATGCAAAGAAAAAAGCTAGTGAATTTGGAGGGGTTAGATTAGAGGTGCTTGATGTAACAAAATTGGCTTTGTTGAGACCAGATGGTCATCCTGGTCCTTACATGAATCCTTTCCCATTTGCTAATGGTAATGGGGTTCCAGAACCTGTGCAAAATGATTGTGTTCATTGGTGCTTGCCGGGACCTATAGACACATGGAATGAGATTTTTCTAGATATCATGAAAAAATGGGAGCAACATAGAAAAATCTGATTGAGGTATTAATATTCCTTTTATATAAATATATTTTATAGAAGATACTATATTTACAAATGTTATATTATCTATATTTTGTAGGTTAGATTAGATGGGATTGTATTTAAATTTTATTATTATGATTAAGTTAGACCATATATGAATTAGTATGAACTGAATGGAATTAATGGCATAAAAAAAACAAATTAAAGCCAAATAATTCACTATGAATAGGGATGATAAAATGAGTCAGGCTGGCGCGGGCTAACATATTAGCCCACCATAATATAACGGGATGGGTTAGTGTTTTTAGTCCGTTAATCTGCTTTGACTTGTTCCGTTAAGCTCGTCAACCTGTCGGACCAACCCGCAGGACGGGATGGGCCAGCCCACAACCCATCTAATTAATAAAAAATATTTTTTTATTATAATAAAATTAATTATAAAGATAATATATAAAGTTAAAGATTTTAAAAATAAAATTAAAAAAGTTTCACTCTCACAGAAAAAAAATATATATATATATATTGAATTATTGACAAACAAATAATAATCTTATTATTAAATTTATTTAAATTTTTTATTTAATTTTTTATTTAATTATGGCGGGTCAGCCCACCAACCCGTCCTTTGGCAAGATGGGCCAAGGTTTACAACCTGTTATGACTATAACGGGTCAGTCCGTCCCCTTTTTGGCGGGTCAAAGGTGGGACGGGCCAAAATGGGACGGACTGACCCGTTTTGTCATCCCTAACTATAAATAATGTTGGGCACCGCTTCGAACTATAAGAGAAAATGAAAATAGAGAATTTTATTTTAAAACAAAAAGATTATATATTAATAAAGGAAAAAAAAAGTGAAGAGAGAAGTGAAAACTTAATTAATATAAATATTTATTAATATTTATATTACATAAACAATTTTTTGTTAACTCTTTTATTAATAGTTTTTCTTTATATTTATTATAATGATAAAAAAAATAAGTATTTAAATAATAAAAATATTAATATTAAATAAATTTATAATACAATGTCTAAAGGATATCTAAAAAGAGTTTTTAATAAAAATTATTTAAGATTAAAATTAAATATTTTAGTATGGTGAATGGTTTAAAATTTGAATAAAATTTTTTATTCAAATAATTTGTTTTTATTTTAAATAATTTTCTCTATTTTTAAAACATTTAGATATAAAATCCATAATAAAATATTCATTTTTATTCTTCGATAACTCCCATTCAAAATCCTCAGTTACTTTTTCCATGCATGGTTTCAACGTGCACTGCACTTAATTTATTCTTTTATCACACTTAAAATAAAATAAAACAATAAAAAGTGTTAATAATGACGCATTACAATTAAATGATAAATAATAATAAAGATAAAAGCAAAAATTAATAAAATTAGATGGATTGATTATTTATCTTTTTTTTTCAAAATTACAACCTTGGAATAGTATACAATTAATATGATTATGAACTCATACCAAAACGAAATCAATATAACTATTTGTGTTTTCACATGTAATAAATACATTAATTAATACACGTATAATATAAGGAAAATACTGTTTGGGATTATATACTTTTATAAATATTTCATTAAGAATATCAATAAATACAAATTATATTTAATAATGATATTGATTACTTGTATATTATATTTAAGAAAAAAAATAATTATTATTATTATTGTTACGTAAAAAAAATAGTGAACAAATACGTTGTGCCAATATTACATATTTTTAGTCTATCATTTAATTACAAACAACTGTATATTTTATTCATACTCTGATTTGTTTGTGAAACACCATTCATATTCGACTAAACTTTATCTATCTGTACAATTAATAATAGTGAAACGGTCAAGCTGCTTTAAAAAAAAAAATTAACAATTTCTATGAGAAACGTAAAAGGATAATATAAGGTAGAATAGGATAAGGTGAAGAGACGTTGGGAACAAAAACGAAGGAGTGAGTTGCAAGATATGAGAGGTAAGAGATTTAGCACGAAGCTTCTTCCTCTTTCTGTTTACGCTCTACCACCCATTGCGTTGCTCTGCTTCTGTCTTTATTTTTACTCTCTTTCTTTCACTTCTTCTCCACACTCTCACTTTCCGCAATTCGTTTCCATCACCAACCACTCTTCTCTCTCCGCTTCTACTCCTCCAGGTATATGCATCCCTGCATTTTTTGTCTCATTAAAACTACACATTATATACCATCGTTTTAATTGAACAATTAACTAGCAAGTGCGATCTGATTGCAATATCATCAAGTTTTTGAGATTTCTGCAATCATAATAAGATGACTGTAATGACAGTCACATCAGTTGTATTTATCTATAATTCATTGTGATGTCAAAAACTGATCAAGTTTTTGAAATAATAAGAAGACTGTAAATACTGTTGCATCCGTTTATAATTTCTTACAGTATTAAAGATTTTGACAAAATTAGTTGTCCTAGCTTAAAATAGTATGAAAGAATCCTTCGTACTTATAGTATTACCTTAAAAATTGTATCATTCAGTGAGAGTTGGAAATATCAGCTCATAATTTAGTCCTAGCAGTACTATGTTTTTGTGTGAGAATTACCAGTCATGGGCAATAAGGATAGATGTTTTTATTGGTGCAAGTGATGTATTAGAGAAGTTGTGGAGAGGGATTACGAGATTAGTCTTATGCTGAAAAGTTCAATTCTTAGAATTATTGTTTTTAAAAATAATTTTTAGAGGTGGAATCAATCTTATAAATAATATATTAAAAAAATTATTTAAATATTTTTTTTAGTTTATTTACTAAACCAAACTTATTTTTAACAAAAGTAAATAAATTCATATTTTTTTTTGTATTTAGTATTTTTTTCTCTTCTTTTATTTTTCTCTCATCTCATCATCTTATTCTTTAATTAAAGAAAATAGATTAAAATAGGAGAAGTAAATATTTTAAAATAAAAATATTTAAATAATCTATATGATAAATATTATATGATAAATTTAAAATATTATAAATATTAATTATGTTATAATTATTAAAAAAATTAAATATTTATTTTAAAAGTAATTTTTAAATAATTTTTAAAAAATTATCTCATCTAATTAATTATCATAATTCCATCTAATTATAATTAAATTATTAAATAAAAGTATAAATATTTGATAATTTTAATTAGATCAATAACTATTTATTATGATAAAATAATTTTAAATTAATTATTTTCTGTAAAAATAAATAAAAGTATTCATTGTCATTCTAATTTTAAATAAATAATCAATATATTTTTAGTTTTTTATTTATTTATTTTAATATATTTTTATTAAATTTTAATATATAATTTAATATGAAGAATAAGAGAGAAAATAAATATTGATATAAAAGAAAAAAAAAAGGAGTGAAGGAGAAAAGAAAAAAGTTTATGAGAAAAGTGAAGAATATTAATTAAATATAATCATTATTTAATAAATGATGTTGTCAAAGGGTTGATTTTAGAAAAATATTGTGTACGTGGTTTTTTTCCTCAGAGAAAATGAAAGTACGTTAAATATTCTATTATATCTATACACTTTTTTGTTTGTGAATTATGCTACCAATTCATCTTCTACTTAGGCAAGTCCTTACATATTCTTTTTGGTTTTGATTGGCAGGATATGAGAAGCCATGTAATTACTCCAATGGCAAATGGGTTCATACCAAAAGAGGGCCTCTGTATAATGGTACCACCTGTGTAAAGATGAAGAAAAACCAGAACTGTATATCCAATGGAAGACCTGATTCGGGGTTCCTTTACTGGAGATGGAAGCCGAGTGAGTGCCTTCTTCCAAGGTTTGACCCTAACACTTTTCTCCAACTCATAAGCAACAAGCATGTGGCTTTTGTTGGGGATTCTGTGTCCAGGAACCATCTAGAGTCCCTTCTGTGCATGTTATCCACCGTAATAAAACCAAACCGAGTTCACCACCAAGGTTCTCGTCGGTGGCTATTTCCTTCTCACAACGCAATCTTGTCCTTCTATTGGTCCCCATTTCTCGTACAAGGTGTTCCTAGAAAAACCCCGGGACCACTTTATAACACTGTGCATCTGGATCGTGTTAATATGAGGTGGGCAAGGGATATGGAAGAAATGGACATGATTGTGTTGTCCTTAGGGCATTGGTTTTTGGTTCCTTCAGTTTTCTATGAGGGTGGTAAAGTTTTAGGGTGCATGAGCCATCCTGTTTCCAATTGTACCGTTGAGATTGGTTTTCATGGTCCAATAAGAAGGGCTTTGAGGACTGCTCTTAATAGCATAATCGAGAGGAAGGTTGGTAAGGGAAAAGGTGTTGATGTGATTGTGAGAACATATTCACCTTCTCATTTTGAAGGTGCTTGGGATAAGGGGGGTACTTGTTCAAAGACCAAGCCTTATGGAATTGGGGAGAAGCAAGTTGAAGGGAATGATGCTGAGATAAGATGGATTGAGATGGAAGAAGTGGAAAATGCTCAGGCAAGAGCCAAACAACTAGGAGGGATTAGGTTGGAGGTACTTGATGTAACAAAATTGGCATTGTTGAGACCAGATGGGCATCCTGGTGTTTATATGAATCCTTTCCCATTTGCAGATGGGATTCCAAAGGTTGTGCAGAATGATTGTGTTCATTGGTGTTTGCCAGGGCCTATAGACTCATGGAGTGAGGTTTTTCTGCAGATTATGAAAAACATGGCACGATTAGCAAAGGAGTGAAGAGTGAAGAGTGAAGTATTCTTCATATATCACATGTTAACGCATTATACTAATTTTTGTTCGTTTTTTTTTTTTTTTGAAGAGATTCACATCACTTCTGAGTTTAAATTAATTAAGAAGATAAAGTAATTATACAAAAGAATATAATTCCACCATCACTTAAAATTTTAAAATTACAGATTTATATATATTTTTCACTTAAATTATTCAATTTTTCTAAAATATACAAGGCTAATACGTTGAATCTGCGTAGAGAGTATTTTATTTTTTGTTAGAAACATGTTATTAGTTCACAAAAAGTTTAGTTTAATTATTGGTTATGTTTCATCTGTTTATGATAGAAAAGATCAAGCATTATTATAGATTGATCACATAAGTTTTTTTTTATAGAAAAAAATGGGAGAGTCAAATTCCAGAAAAAATTCCTCACCCCTTTCTCTTTTTCAAAACTGTAGTCATGATAGAAATTACTGATAAAGTGTTGCCGCATTCAAATTAGTAAAAATTTCAATACAATGACATAAATATCATAAATAAACGTTTAACTCTATTGATAAAATTTATTCATAGGAAAATAGATGGTGCGTGGTCCAAGATCTTTATTTGGAAATTTTACCCGTTTAGAAGTAGAAAACTGTCAAACTCATTTTCAGATAGAGCTTGAGATACGGATTTCTATGATTAAGACTAACAAATACTCCAATTATTTTAAAATATATTACATTTAAAATTAGATATGATACGTATTAAAATAAGTATTATTTTTTATTATTTCTAATAAATTTATTATTTTTTCTTTTAATATATCTTCATCTTAATATTTCATTTTCTAATCAAAATATTTTTAAGTAACTTTATAATTAAAAAATAAAAATATAATAATCAAAGAGTAATTAATATAAGATTAAACTTTACATACATTTAGAAACAATTTGTTTTAGTCAAAGCGAAAGGATTTTTTTATTTTTTTAAGTGTGAGGAGTATATTTTTTTAAGAGGGAAATGATTCATAGGTTAAACTTATGCTTTATAATAAATATTTTACTAATATTTATATTACATAAACAATTTTGTTGTAATTTTTTTATTATAATGATAATAATATATTTTATTCCTAGTCTTTGTTTTGGAAGAATTCATACACATTCGATTAAATATATAATAATAATAATAAATAAATAAATAAATGAGAAACGGTCAAGTTACTTTTTGATAAAGAAATAACAATTTTTACGGGAAAGGTAAACAAATACTAAATAATAATTTTAATAAAAATATATTAAGTAATTACGTTATTTCCGATTTTAACTAATTAAATCAAGTATAATAATTTCTAAAAATAACAATTTCCGGAAGTAATAATTTCTTAATATAAAGGAATTTCTCTAAAAACAAAGTTCCTATTAAAGTAATTATGAAAAAGCTATTCTCCATTTTTTATAAAAAAGATTAATTCCCTTCCTTATATAGTTATCATACACGAATAGGATAACATAAAATTTGATTCACGCGTTACGCTGCTCAAGATGGTTTTGTGTAGATTGCAGAATTGAATTTTGAAGCCAAATCCTAGCCACGCGTTTTACGTGAAGAGCGATTAGAAGAAAGAAACGAAGAGGAGAAAGTGGTAGGAGGTAAGAGATTGAATTGCAAGATATGATAAGTAACAGATTTAGCACGAAGCTTCCCCTTTCTGTTTACGCTCTACCTCCCGTTGCGTTGCTTTGCTTCTGTGTTTATTTTTACTCTCTCTCTTTCACCTCATCATTCTTTCACATTCCGCATTTCGTTTCCATCGCCAACCAATCTTCTCTCTTCGCTTCTACTCCTCCAGGTATATGTATTGCTGTATTTTTCTCTGATTTAAACTATGCATTATATTATCATTTTCATTGAACAGTTACTTCGCATCTGCGATTTTGATTGCAATAACATCAAGTTTTTGAGGTTTCTGCAATCATAAGACGATTGTAATTCCAGTCACATCAGTTGTATTTATCTGTAATTTCTTTTGAGGTCAAAAATTGATCAAGTTTTTGAAATTATTACAAGACTGTAATTACGGTTTCATAAGTTGTATTTGTTAGTAATTTCTTACAATATTAAAGATTGTGACAAAATTACTGTTGTCCTAACTATTACAATTACACGAAGTCAAGTTTGAAACATGGTTGCAATGTAGGTCTTTCTTTAGAGAAAGTGAAGTATGTTAATTATTTTCCATTATTTATACACTTTTTTGTTTGTGAATTATGCTACCAATTCATTTTCTACTGAGGCAAGTAGTTATGTTTTCTTTTCGTTTTTCTATTGGCAGTGTATGAGAAGCCATGTAATTACTCCAATGGCAAATGGGTTCATACCAAAAGAGGTCCTCTGTATAATGGTACCACATGTGTTAAGATGAAGAAAAACCAGAACTGTATAACCAATGGAAGGCCTGATTCGGGGTTCCTTTATTGGAGATGGAAGCCGAGTGAGTGCCATCTTCCAAGGTTTGACCCTAACACTTTTCTCCAACTCATAAGCAACAAGCATGTGGCTTTTGTTGGGGATTCTGTGTCCAGGAACCACCTAGAGTCCCTTCTTTGCATGTTATCCACCGTAATAAAACCAAACCGTGTTCAGCACCTAGGTTCTCGTCGGTGGCTATTTCCTTCTCACAACGCAATCTTGTCCTTCTATTGGTCCCCATTTCTTGTACAAGGTGTTCAAAGAAAAACCCCGGGACCACTTTATAACACTGTCCATTTGGATATTGTTGATATGAGGTGGGCAAGGGATATGGAAGAAATGGACATGATTGTGTTGTCCTTAGGGCATTGGTTTTTGGTTCCTTCAGTTTTCTACGAGGGTGGTAAAGTTTTAGGGTGCATGAGCCATCCTGTTTCCAATTGTACCGCTGAGATTGGTTTTTATGGTCCAATAAGAAGGGCTTTAAGGACTGTTCTTAATAGCATAATTGAGAGGAAGGTTGGTAAAGGAAATGGTGTTGATGTGATTCTGAGAACATATTCACCTTCTCATTTTGAGGGTGATTGGGATAAAGGGGGTACTTGTTCAAAGACCAGGCCTTATGGAATTGGGGAGAAGCAACTCGAAGGGAATGATGCTGAGATAAGAAGGATTGAGATGGAAGAAGTGGAAAATGCTCAGGCAAGAGCCAAACAAATAAGAGGGTTTAGATTAGAGGTGCTTGATGTAACAAAATTGGCATTGTTGAGACCAGATGGCCATCCTGGTCCTTATATGAATCCTTTCCCATTTGCTAACGGGGTTCCAAAGGTTTTGCAGAGTGATTGTGTTCATTGGTGTTTGCCAGGGCCGATAGACACATGGAGTGAGGTTTTTGTGCAGATGATGAAAAACATGGCACGAGTAGCAAGGGAGTGACTACCATTCCTCATAACTTGTTAATTCATTGCTCTATGTTTTCCACCGTAGAGGGATGATGTGTTGAATGAGACTAGAAAGAATATTTTGTTTCTCTTTGCAAGAAACATGCCATCGGTTAGCAAAAAAATTTAGTTTAGTGGTTGGTAGGACACCAAAAACGGTCATGTCCGCCCGAAATCTCATCCGTTAAATACGGGGCTGAAAGGGTGGACTTGTAATTATTAGCATATACTGTAGAGTTTGGTTTGTCCGGTTGTTAATTTTTATATATTATATATATATATATATATATATATATATATATTATTTACATTTTAAAATATTTCATTATAATTAATAAATTAAATTTAAATTATTAATATTTATGATTTAGATTATAATATATTCTATTAACATAAAAAAACATTTTAAATTATTATTTTTTTATTTTAATTTGACAATATAAATATATTTTTAAAAAAATTATCTGTCTTATTTTATATCTAATCTATTGGACAACACTCAATATGTCAAAATCGACTAATTAATCAAAATTATCATTTGACTTGAGACAAATAGTTGGATAATATATATTTATGTAAAAAATCAAGTTATTTTTAAATAGTTGTTTTTATTTTATTTTAATTAAATAATTTTAGACAATACTTTTAGTTTTATATGCTTATTTATTTATCATGCTGAACAATAAGAAATCGAATCAATTGTAATGTTGTAGTTAATCATATATAACAATATAGTTATTAATATAACTTCAATAAGTAAAATTAAATATTTAATCAAATTCAATGATGTTGGGAATCTACATATAGAAGTGAATAAAAATAAGTACAACACAATAAAGAGAAAATAAAAGTATGTATAAATTATCTAATTAACTTGAAAAAAAAAAGAGTAACAAAAATACACTTTTTAAAAAGAATTTAATATTTTTCCCAAAAACAAATTGATATCGTTTTATTTGAACTTTTTATTTATTACGTGTTTTCAACAACACTTGTAAGATTTGTAAATTAAACTCTATTTATCGTATGTACAACAATTTATTTTGTTTAATACACGTAAAGTATTAATTATAAGTATTATGACACACACACGCACACACATATATATACATATATATATATATATATATATATATATATATATATATATATATATATATATTCGATTACTGTGGAAAATGAATTTCAACTTAGCATAATTAGACATGTTAAATTAAAGTGCAACATTTGAAAATGTTTAGATTGAAACCTTAACATATAATTTTAAAAATAATATTAAAAACTAGATACTATTGATTTTAATTTTATTATTCTAAAATGTTAATATGAATAAATTTATTAAAATAAAAATTTTAAGTATACAATTAGATTTAAAATAACTCAATAATTTATTTAAAATATTAATTAAACATATAAATCAAGAGATATACAATTCAACATACACACCCCACATATTAATTTAATTTTGAAATTTTCTATTTTAAATATGTTTTATAAATTAATGCTTTGTGAATTATATTAAATAATAAAAAATATAATTAATTTGTAAAATTTGATTATAAGTTTTTAATTAATTTTTTTGTATCTAAAAGTCATACATCTTTAAAAATAATATTAATTGAATTGAATCTAATAAATATGATATATAGTCAATATAGAATTCAATTATATTATTTAAGATTGTATATTATATATTTATTAAAATGAAATATTTTATGACGTTTTGAATGCAATTTATCTGTTTTACCACAAGAGAGATAGAAGAGGAGAAGTTCTTTTACTGAAAATTCAAAATTTAGCTTAGTTTCATTCCTCATAAAACATGTGCTAGTTTTGATTCAAATAATCAAATCCACTTAAAATCTAGCTTAGGTTGTGTTTGGTTGTATTTTTATTTTTTATATGGGGGTTGTGCTTAAAAGAACCCAAAGATGTTTTGATTTTAAAAATTGAAAAAACATATAGTTATTGAAAACTACTTTTAAATAATTACTCTTATCAAACAATTTTTTTTCTATTTTTCATATAAAAAAGACAATTTTAAAAAACAAACATACCCATATTTTCTCTTGAATAAAGATTCAAATTCTAAGCCCCACTTTATATATGAAAAAGACTGTAACTTTCGCATTATTGGAGATGTTCCAAATTATGTTCATGGGAGTTAATTTTTCAATATATATTTAAAGTGGAAAAGTCTTTTGAAGTTGGTGAACAACTAAAGTATGCAACATATTTTTTTTCTACAAATCATCCAAATGCTCAAGCCTCACAATAGATTTATAAAGAACTCCAACACAACACTTCTTTTTTATATCCCATTAGGTAACAATGGCTTAAAACAAAAAAGGAAATTGCATTCATGGACAAAGAATACAAAACATAACCAATTGTTTATATATATAAAATAAAAACATTTATTAGTTTATACATAAACTATTTTTAGTTTAAAAGATGTTTATTTATTTTCTCTTTTAAAAAGTTTGTACGGAATTTTTTCCATAATATCCATTACCCCTCTCCATGTATTGAAAAAGCATGATCCTATGACAATTTCAAAAAAATAGTTAGTAAAATAGAGAAATCAGAGAGATCTCTTTACGTGTTTCCATAACCAAATAATAAAAACCCCAAGAAACTTGTTTCTCTCAGTCACTATCCTCCTTTTGACTTTCAGTTCACATGATGAATGCAATAAACAAAAAATTGAGTGCTTTTCTTCAATCTTCTGAGCTGAGAACACCAGAAGGAACGGAGAGGAAGGGAAAAGCATAAGGCTTTGAACATGGGAACTATTGACTTATTCAACAAAGAAAAATCCCTCTCCATCATCAAGAGACTTCTTCCATGGACTCTTTGTGCCCTCCTTCCCATTTCATACTTTTACCCGCTACCCTTTTCTCCGTATCCTAATCCTCATCTTCCCCATTTCCCCAGCAACAACATCACCTACCATTCTTCCCTTTCTGCTTCTGCTTCTCCACCTTCTTCTGCAGGTATATGCATGCACTCTGTCTTCTTCTTAATATTATAATTTACAGTGCTTTTCTTCCCCTTAAAATTCTCTTTTTTTTTTTTTTTTATTTAGTTTGTTCTCTCTTGTAAAGTTCTCACTTTTTCTGGTTGTATATTTTAAATATTCATTCAAGTTTTCATCTTTTTTACGTATATGTATAGGAACATAACATAGTTAGACCGGCACTGAGTACAAGAAATGCAGCCGATTTAGTTTTGATTATTAAAATATTTTTATATTTATATTTGATCTAGAAAAAAAAATATATATATATATATATATATATATATATATATATTCATATTTTGTTCTTATTATTATATATTTTTACAATTATATGCTTGTAACTTGAATTGTAATATAATTAGCAGCATGGGATTGATTGTTGTTGATTGCAGAAAAGGAAAAAAGTAACGAGGCTGAATGTGACTATTTCAATGGTGAATGGGTGAGTGACAGTAGGGGTCCTTTGTACAATGACACAACATGTGGTACTATCAAAGAAGGCAGGAACTGCATCACACATGGAAGGACTGACTTGGGCTATCTACAGTGGAGATGGAAACCCAATGAGTGCAATCTTCCAAGGTTTGAGCCTCAAACTTTTCTCCGACACATTAAGAACAAGCATGTAGCTTTTGTGGGGGACTCTATGGCCAGGAACCAACTAGAGTCCCTTCTTTGCATGTTAGCCACTGCTTTAACTCCTAACCTTGTCTACTACAACAAAGCTGGCAAGGAAAACCAGTTCAGCCGTTGGCACTTTCCTTTATTCAATGCAACCATTTCCTTGTATTGGTCCCCTTTTCTTGTGCATGGTATTGAAAAATCAAGCACTAACCCCAATAACAATCTGTACTTGGATCGTGTGGATGAGAAGTGGGCAAGGGACATGGATCAAATGGACTTGATTGTGTTATCATTTGGTCATTGGTTTCTGATTCCAGCAGTTTACCATGAGGGTGATTCAGTTTTAGGTTGTCATTACTGTCCTGGTCTTAATCACACTGAGATTGGGTTTTATGATGCGTTGAGAAAAGCCCTAAGGACCACCTTTAATAGCATAGTTGAGAGGAGTAGAGGCAATGGAATTGATATAATTGTCACAACATTTACACCACATCATTTTGAAGGAGAGTGGGATAAGGCTGGTGCTTGTCCAAAGACTAAGCCTTATAGAAATGAGGAGAAGCAGCTTGAAGGAATGGATGCTGAGATGAGAAAGATTGAGATTGAAGAAGTGAAAGAAGCCAAGGGAAAAGCAAGAAGAAGGTTAAGGTTGGAGGCATTGGATGTGACGAAATTAGCATTTTTGAGGCCAGATGGCCATCCAGGTCCTTATATGAACCCTTCTCCATTTGTTAAAGGGAATGCAGGGCGTGTGCAGAATGATTGTGTTCATTGGTGCTTGCCTGGACCTATAGACACTTGGAATGAGATTCTTTTGGAGATGATAAAGAAGTGGGAAAACCAACCAAAGAGTGAAGACTGAGATTTTTCTCATATCTTGTTAGTTTATTATATTTTAGTTTTTCCATCACAAGTCATGGAAATTGCATTGGATATGAGCAAGGAATGTTTGGTTTTGTTCATTCTGCTTAGGTTCTTTTCTTTCAAAACGGATAGGGAAATGTTACAACTTTCTTGAAAAAAATTCAACAATACTTACTATACTCTGTTTCTAATGCACAAAATTTGATGTCTCTCACTATCAGTAACTAGCGATTCATATTGTTTTTGACGTTTAGAAGACTTGCGCTTATGCATTAACATACAGCATATTAAAGACTTTAACTTAAATTATGGCCAAACTACAAGAAGAGGTTGATTTGTACAAGACATGTTTGAATTTGGGACAGCATGCTTTTCATCAAAATGTTTGATTATCTAAATATTTGATTAACTAACCAGTCTAATGCTCTTATACTCACTGGTTACACATGACAGTCATTGCATTACAACATTGCCATTTAAAGTTGAAGATCCAACAGAATAAATCTTCAAAGAAAAACAAATGTATATAAAATATATAGCATTTGCATACTCATGTACAGAGAAGGTGTATTTTCTTGGAAGGAAGTCTATGGTGAGAGAAAGTTAAATATTATAATTCTACAATACCTTGATTCTGGTGGATGATCTTTTCAATTGATTCTACTGCTAAGAATCCAAATTAAAAAAAAAATAGCTTGATTATATATTTATATATGACTTTATTTTTTTAATTGCAATCTTATTTAAAGAACAATTATATTTTTTAATATAAAAACATATTTTTAAACACGACTTATATATATATATATATATATATATATATATATTAAAATGAATATTAGTACTTAAAGTTGTGTTTTGATTCTGAATTATTTTTCACTTTGTTGGAGTCGTCATGAATTATGATAGTGCCAAGACTAGCTAGGAAAACTACATGTTGACTTCTCATATATGTATGATTGTGTTTCATTGGTCCAAATGTTCAATTTTCATCTTCAACATTTTTATTATTATTATTATTATTATTATTATATATATATATATATATATATATATTTATTTCGAAAATAAAAATATTTTTTATCTTCATCTTTTATTTATTTTTTTATAATTAATGAATAAAAAAATTATTATATTAGATAATTATATAAAATAATTTTGAATTCTTTCTCTTGATTTCTTTTTTCTATTTAATTTTTGTAGTATTTTTTTCTATTTTAATAAAAAAATAATGATATTTTCATTAAATATATTGAACTTTTAATTATCATATATTTTTCATTTAGTTTCTCGCTTTTTAAAAAGTGTGATATATAAAGATATCAAGAGATACTAATTAAGTTACAAAGAGTAAATTAAAATCTTTTAAAAAAAGTAAAGTCTCAGTGGAAGTATGATAAGTTGTGAATTAATTTGGCTAAGTACACATTTTTCTATTGTTTTACATCCATAAATGATGGGTTAATAAACAATGAACAGGGTGTATTATGTTATTAACAAAAATATTAATGGATATGTCAATAAGCAAAAATGCTCACAATTATTGTAGTTGTCATACAAAACTATTCATTTTTTAATTCATCCTATGAGATATGCTTACAATTTTGAATAATTAAGTTATAATTGAATTTTAAGAATTTATAACATAATATTTTAAGATAATCTTTTAAGATTAATTCATTCTCATAATATTGAAATATAAATATATTTAAATCTCGTGAAAGATTATTAACTTATAAATAAGAAAAATTATTATCCTACTTAATATCTTTAGATTTTGAGTACAAGATAATATGAGAATAAAAGATAGAGTACAATCTACCAAATTTTGCCTTCGAAAATAACAGATAGAATAGAGAAAATTATTATGAGAATGATACAAACATTATTTTTAGTGGTGCAGGAGTTCATATCTTGTATTATTTATAACAATGCTTTTGAGAGTAGAAGTTATGCTTATATCAGCCACTTTGGAAGAGAAGGAAACTCTTGCAACTTGCAGTTACTCCTACTCTGTCTTCCTATACTCTTGAGTACTGCGTAAGTGTATATCAGTGCGCAGTTGCCAGAGAATTCATACACCATGATATGATAATATTGAACTGGAATCTTTAAATGTAAATATATATAGTGTGTTAAATAAGATGAAATTCACTCTCAATAGTCATTCATCACATTTTCAAATCACTGCATTCATTAGAGAGTGTGTTGAAAAAGTTGTAGACAGTGTTGCTGCATGCTGCTACTCTAATAATCAGAATATACATAACCTATTTGGTGGAAAAAATATTAAGTGTGATAAATTAACAAGTGGTACTCTACACTCTAGGCTGTTTCTCCCACTTTTTCATGATCTCTAGAAAGATCTCATTCCACGAGTCTATAGGCCCTGGCAAGCACCAATGAACACAATCATTCTGCACATGCTTTGGAACCCCATTAGCAAATGGGAAAGGATTCATATAAGCACCTGGATGGCCATCTGGTCTCAACCAAGCTAATTTTGTTACATCAAGTGCCTCCAACCTAAACCCTCCAAGTTGTTTGACTTTTGCCTTGGCATTTTCCACTTCTTCCATCTCAATCCTTCTGATCTCTCCATCCACTTCTCCAGGTTGCATCTCCCCCTGCCTATAAGGTCTAGTTTTTGAACAAGTACCTCCTTTATCCCAATCACCTTCAAAATGGGAAGGTGAGAATGTTCTCACAATTACATCAATTCCATTTCCTTTACCAACTTTCTTCTCTATTATGCTATTAAGAGTAGTCCTCAAAGCCTTTCTAAGTGGACCATAAAAACCAATATCAGTGTACTCTAGATCGTGACAGTTTAGGCAACCTAAAACCTTACCACCCTCATAGTAAACTGAAGGAACCAAAAACCAATTCCCAACTGATAGCACAATCAAGTCCATTTGATCCACATCCCTTACCCACTTCTCATTAACACGGTCCAAATGCATTATGTTATGAAGTGTCCCTGTGCTTGATCTTTGAAGCCCTTGCACAAGAAATGGGGACCAATAGAGGGACAAGCTTGCATTGTGAGAAGTAAAGTGCCACCGACGACACCCTTTGTGGTGGACACGTTTTGGTGTTGAAGCAGTAGCTAGCAAGCAAAGAAGCGACTCTATTTGGTTCCTGGCCAGAGAGTCCCCAACAAAAGCAACACGCTTGTCATTAATGAGTTGAAGAAAAGTGTTAGGGTCAAACCTTGGAAAATGGCACTGACTTGGTGTCCATCTCCAGTAAAGGTAGCTGGAATCATGCCTCCCATTGTTGATACAATTCTGGCTTTCTTTGATTGTGGCACAAGTTGTACCATTATACAGAGGGCCTCTCTTGTCACGGACCCATTTCCCATCAGAGAAGTCACATGGGGCATCATAAACATAGTCCTTGTCTGCCAATATTACAAAACAAGAATGAACTCAATTAAGTCCCTTAAATACGTAAACCAACTAGTATATTTACACCACACATTTGAATTTATAAGACAAAATTCATTAGCAATAGTACAGTTTTAACAAAACAAAATCATGCATGCATATATATATATATACCTGCAGAAGGAGGAAGAGGAGTGGAAGGAGAAGAAGAAGGAGAAAGCTTAGTTGGTGGAGCAGGAGAAAGAGAAAGAGGGTAAAAGTAAAAGGAAAGAAGAACTAAAGGTAGGAGAGGTATAAGGAATAAAACATGGACTGTACACGGAAGAAGTTTCTTGTTGAGAGGTTGATCTTTGTTTGAGTTTGTACCTCTCATGTTGAAAGCATTCCTTCTAGCTTATCCTTTCCTGCCTTATGTTACCAACTTTCTTGTGGACCATGAGGATTTCAACTTTCATCCACCATGGTCTAATCTAATAAATGCACATGAATAATTAATGCACCCTCAAATTGAACATTGAAGTGTGGACCATAAACTGAACAAGGATCTATTTTGTTTTAAAATTCTAGTATTGAAAAAAACAGGATAACATAAATCTGCGGTGTCCTGCTAAAGAAATACCAGTACTTCTTTTGATACTGTGTATATCATAAATAAAACTCTTCTAAAAAATTAAACACAGTAGAAGAAGGTACACATATAACTCAGTGTTTTCCATGTCATTTTTTGTCAGATAACATGAAGTCAAGAGAGAGGGAAACAAAAGGGGTCACAGTTAACACTAATTGTAAAAGTATCAAAGTAAATTGATAAATAAAAAAAAACACATTTATATACATAATTCTTATGCTAATAGTTTAATTTTCTGTTGGCCCACCAAAAAATAATCAATTGATATGATTTCAATCTCAAGGTGATTCACGCATTAAATTATTAGAAATTATAGCGTAACGTAGCTGCTACGATAATGCGTTTCATGTTATTTTATTTTTAATTCATTTATATAAAATAAAATACGATAAAATTGTATAAATAGTTGTGTTTATGCTTAAGCCTCCAGAGATCTCTCTTACTTAGGTTAAAGCTACATTGTGGACCTGCTGGCCCAAATTCAGCATAAAACCCATAGCCCAACAAGGTCCAAGAAAATGACAAGCCCGAAGGACTTCATTAATTCCCCATCTTCTCTGGTCAAAATACACGTGTAAGCCTCCCATTTGACCGTTGACAATGAATGTAGCTTATAAGAACAGGTATAATGAAGTATTATTATGATATTTTCTTTATTTTCACAGATTTATTTTCTTTATTATATTAACACATGTAACTAATTTTTATTTAATTCAAAATCAAGATTTTATTATATTAATACAATCAACTTGAGAGGAAATGAATGTTTATGTCATCATTATCAAATGGGTATCATGAGTTTTATATTTTTAATGGATAAAATGTAAGAAATAAACTGAACTATTGTATGATCAAATTGAGCTTTAAAAGTAATTTAATCAATCGTAATTAAATCTATATAATTGTTGAAATAAACTGAGTTGAATTGTATTATAATTTTGAGTTTATTAAAGTATTTCAAACTCTTTCAAATGGCATAAATTATTTTAATTATTATCTTTAAGTATTTTATCTGAAAACATGTTTTTTAATCTCAAAATTATAATGTAGTTAAAATAAAATAAATTTATTCAACAGCAAATTTTGTTTTAAAATTTAAAGTAAAAGAAAAGTTTTTCCCAACATCATCTTCTGTAACAAATGGGATTTGGAGGGTTCAATGCATCTAATAGACAGATTGGTTCACATGGGCATATTCAAATACAAACAAAAATGTATTATTATTCTTTTCAGTGCCACATATGGCTTCAATACTCCTAATTCACCCCATTATACACTCAGATTTAAAAATATATTAATTAGCCTCTCTCTTTTTCAGAAAAAACATGAGTCCTTTTTTTGCTTTTCACAGGAAAAAAACGAAAGTATGTGTCCTTTTTTAGTAGGACCCCTTGACCATGGTCCTTGGTAAAGTTCTTTCTCTCAAGACGATTCTGTTCTTGCATATATATATATATATATATATATATATATATATATATATATATATATATATATATATATATATACGCAACAAATACATTTGTATTCTCTTACAACACCTTTAACATAAAGTGAAAAAGCAGAAGCAGGTCTCATGACGAAGGAAAGAGTTGTCGTAAGGAGAACATTTGAAAATCAATTACCTAAATAAATTTGATTTGTCGGACTAATAATATATTATGAGTTAAAGGTGTTGTTTATTTAAGCTTTGTGGTACTAATAAGTTTTTTCTGTAGTAGATAACATTACGATGAGAAGGAACGAGGGCAAGATTGGAATAGCAATATTCAAAGGCTATTAGATTAGAATCCAAGACACAACTTAAGAAAACTAGTGAGTAAATTAGAGACATAATGGAGATCCAACTGTGTTTTTTTTATTATTATTTCTCCTAATGAATAAAGCAAGGACCCTGCTTCTCTGTCAACACCTATCAACTTTCATCTGATAAATTCAAAACCAATCATAGCTCTGTGTGTGTGTGTGTGTGTGTGTGTGTGTGTTTTTTCTTTCTTGAGACTTCATTCTCAGCTAAGAACACTGGAAAGAGAAGAAAAAAAAAAGGAGAAGAAAGGGAAGCACAAACAAGAAGGGATAGGCATTGAAGATGGGAATCACTAGCCCATTCAAAGATCAATCCCTCTCCCTCACCAAGAGACTTCTTCCTTGGACCCTTTATGCTCTTCTTCCCATAGTTCTACTTCGGTTATACTTCTACCCTCTACCCTTCCCTCCATCTCCAGAAACCGACCTTCCCAACTCCGCCCCTATCACCATCATCTCCCACTCTTCTCTTTCTGCTTCTGCGCCTTCTTCTCCAGGTACATGTGTGCTTAATTTCATCTTGTCTTTAATATAATGGACAAAACTAGCATGCAGTTCTTTAGAATATCTTAGTACTGTTATTCTATCAGAATTGGAGCTTTGGATTTTGTATTGTAGTTTGTTTAGTAAAGATTTGCTTTAAATCTCAACATATGGTATTGAAATAAAATTTTAATTCCGATTGGACAACAAGGTAAGAACATAGATGGAATTGAATCTAAGTTTTATGGAATTGTAATTAGCAACCTGGGATGTAGGATTTGTTGGTTTACTAGACTTGCTTGCTTATATGTTCTTTATTGGCAGAAAAGGAAAAAATTTATGAGAACCCATGTGATTACTTTGATGGCAAATGGATTCGTGACAAGAGAGGCCCTTTGTACAATGGTACAACCTGTGGTACAATCAAAGAAGGCCAGAATTGCGTAACACACGGAAGACCTGACTCTGGGTATCTTTACTGGAGATGGAAACCAAGTCAATGCAAACTCCCAAGGTTTGAGCCTCAAACTTTTCTCCAACTCATTAGCAACAAGCATGTAGCTTTTGTGGGGGACTCTATGGCAAGGAACCAATTAGAGTCCCTCCTTTGCATGTTAGCCACTGCTTCAACCCCTAACCTTGTCTACCGGAATGGCGAGGACAACAAATTTCGGAAGTGGTATTTTCCTTCTCACAATGTGAGTGTCTCTTTGTATTGGTCCCCATTTCTTGTGCAAGGTGTTGAAAAGTCCAACTCAGGGCCAAATCATAATAAGTTGTATTTGGATCATGTTGATGAGAGGTGGGCAAGGGATATGGATCAAATGGACTTGATTGTGTTGTCAATTGGGCACTGGTTTTTGCATCCTGCAGTGTACTATGAGGGTGGTTCAGTTTTAGGATGTCATTACTGCCCTGGCCTTAATCACACTGAAATTGGGTTTTATGATGTGTTAAGAAAGGCCCTAAGGACTACCCTTAATAGCATAATCGACAGGAGAGGGAGTAAAGGCTATGGAACTGATATAATTGTGACAACATTTTCACCTGCACATTTTGAAGGTGATTGGGATAAGGCTGGTGCTTGTCCAAAGACCAAGCCTTATAGAAAAGGTGAGAAGCAACTTGAAGGGATGGATGCTGATATGAGAAAGATTGAGATTGAAGAAGTGGAAGATGCCAAGACAAAAGCTAATAATCTCGGAGGGATTATTAGGTTGGAGGCATTGGATGTAACCAAATTAGCACTATTGAGACCAGATGGCCACCCAGGTCCTTATATGTATCCTTTTCCATTTGCTAATGGGCATCAAGAGCGTGTGCAGAATGATTGTGTTCACTGGTGCTTGCCAGGTCCTATTGACACATGGAATGAGATTTTTCTGGAGTTCATGAAGAAGTGGGCGGAACACCCTAGGATTGAAGAGTGAGGTATTTTTCATGTCTTGTTAAATTCTTATTGGTTTAATTACTCATTTGATCATTATATTTACAAAAGCTTTCTTGTTTATTTCCTATACTTAACAACACTCAATTTTTAGTCCCTACATATACCATAACAGACTAAAATGATGTTTTAAGTATAGGAAGCAGAAGGAACAAGTTTTATAATTACAAAGACTCTAGGAGTAATTGAGTCATACTTATGTTTTCCTCCACATGGGTGATGGGTATTGCACGAAAAGGATGGTTTTTATTATGGTAGAATAGGAGCAATTTTTTTAGAGGGTGGTAGCAACAATTTCTCTGGGAAACTATTGGTTGTTGTTTTTCTTGCTTGGGCTACATAATGGAAAAGGAAATATCTAGAATACTACATGTTGCATTGATGAGGGAGGAAGATGGAGTGACAAATTATTGGTACGATGAACAGTGCTGTTTCTGGAATGTGCTAAAAATGTAGGTAAGGTTTTTAGGTCATTTGGACATGATCTGGTTTGGGGTACAAAGTGTTTAGATGTGAATTTGTGGAGGAATTCATAACACATGGGCAAGTCTTTTCTGTTTGGTAGCCATAAATTTTGTCTAGTGGGGTATTTCAATTGGGAAACTTTCTTTGGCTTAAATTTCTCTCATGTTAATTTGGTTTGATTCATTATGTTGTTTAACCTAGTTCCTTTAAAAAAATGTTAAGAAGTCCATTTGGAATTGTCAGCAATTCAAACGCATTGAAAATTCTGGCAAATACGTTAAGGGCGATTGCGACGTTAATGGATTGATTGAAATTGAAATTGATCACGATCCTTGATTATGGCGTAATAAAATGCACCGTTTATAGAGAGACATGCTCAAAAAGTAAATTTTGGAACCAAGTTCTCTTTCTCGTGTTGTTTGGTTTGCTTTTAGATATGTAGATAGAAGTCTTATTGATGATTCTGTGTCAATGCATGATTGCAAACACGTTTCCACCAAACCACATTAATTGACACTGATTGTCGTTGGAAAATACAATGAAGAAAAAGTAACGACTTTAATGCACTTTTTTTAAGACATTATTTATTGGATAGTTTGTAAATTTTGTATGTGATTACTTAACAGGGTGTTACTTCTGTCACTTATCAATGTTATCATAGGCCAATTTATTAAAAGGGTAATTATAGAGTAGGAGACTCAACCTATTCCGATATGATCTTATGGGTAAAATTAAAATAATAATAATAATAATAATAATAATAATAATAATAAATAAGACTTATATTTTTAAACTTTTAAATGAGTTATAATTTTTTACTTAAAATAGGTCAATGAATTAATGGGTTAATTTTGGTTTGATTGAAAATTAAAAAAATTATTAATATATCTATATAAAAATAATTAATTAAAAAATATTTAAATAAAAATTAAAAATATATTTTAAATTTTAAATTCTATTAATAAAATTATTTTTTATTTAAAATGTAATTATTTTAACATATAAATTATAGGATAATAGATCCATTTAACTTTAAAATAGAAGTTAAAAAATTACTCTTTATTTTAATTATTAAATAATGAAATAAGTGAATGTTAGAGATTATTTTATATTTATTTTTAGAATAAGTAAATTTTTTATCAAATTAATTTATAAAATATATGAATTTTTTATTTTAATGTATAAATTATAATATCATATATTTATTTAGTCATAAAATAAAAGTTAAAAAATTAATCTTTATTATCATTATTATTTAAAATAATAATTTATTTTAATCATTATATTATTGAATAAGTGGATGTTAAAGACTTTTCTTTATAGTTATTATTAGAATAAGTGATATTATTATTAAATTAATTTATAATATTTTTATTTTTATTTAAAAAATTATTATTATTTTATAAAGTAGGTCAATTTATAAGTTTTTAGATAATTTAAATTATGTAGATTATAACTTAAACAGATTATGTCAGAATATGACTTATTTAATTCAAGTCACAGATTTTCTAGTCTAGTATGATTTATTTTTTAAGTTTTCATCGAATTAAGTTTATTTTAAAATCCTTAGGCCCTCCAATTTTCCCAAAAATACATGTTTTGAAATACAGATTTCAGCATAAAATGTCAAGTTTCAAAACATAATTTTTTTTTTTTTATACAAAAGGTATAATATGGTATAATATGATACACAACTTCAATAAACTTTTTATTATTTTTCCTTTGAAATCATATAGGTTACCATCTTCTGGACACGAATTTATTTATTTTTTTTAAGTAGTTGTGGACTTTAGTTTGATTTTTTTAAGGTTTATTTTATATTTTAACTATTAAAAAATTATTTTAATATTTATAATTAATAAAATAAATAATTGTCAAGTATTTAAAAAAGGTGTCAATACTAATTTTATCCCACAAGACTTACCACGAGTTGGGTTGGATTTGATTTATTTTTATTATCAAGTTAAAATAAATCTGATTCACTTAATCCACATGTTTAAGTGAAGTTATGGTAAATTAATTCGTAATCCATATTTTAAATTTTAAAAATTATTATAATAATTTAATAAAAAATCCCAATTTTATTTATTTATGTTATCATGTGTCCATGTTGTTACAGGACAAAAGAGTAGCTCTCACTTAATCGTCGTGCCACTATACCACCATTGTGTTTGTTATGTCATTGTCGTGTCTACTGTGTCCTTCGAATTTACTGTGTCTGTAGTGGACGTTCTTTACATTTGTGTGTGTTTACTGTGTCTACATTTCTTCACTATGTTTACTACTTTTATTATGTTCATCACCTTCGTTGCTAATTAGAAAAAAAATTAAAGAATAAAAAAATACATATGGATTAGTGAGTTAATCCACCTAACCCGTAGTAGGTTGAGTTAAGTTGTCAAATATCTTATTCACCATAAAATAAGTTAGGTTGAATTCGTTTATTTTCAGCTTAGTTCATGGTGGGTCAACCCGTGTAAGTTGGATTAACTCATTTTAACACCCCTAGTATTTAGATATCAATAATGATAAATAATTTTTAAATAGATTAAATTGTTAAAAAGAAAATATTAATACGGTGATGAAGAAAATTAAATAAAAGATATATTAATAAAAAGTTTAAGATACATTAAAATGTCAAAAAAAAAAAAAGATACGTTGAAAAATATTAATTACGAGATATTTTGATTTGATGTCTTAGACTTTCTTGTTAAATGGATGTTTGACGGAACAATGAAACGATCTTTTTCTCTTATTTATTATTATTATTATTATTATTATTTTTTATCTTCACCATTATATTTGTGTAGGTAAAATTTGCTATAACATGATAAACATGTTATCAAAACATTATGCGAAAGAAATAAGTAAATCTTTCATCCTAGACGATATGCAATATGTGTTTCAAAGCATTCACATATGTTGAATCTACAAATAAAAAATAGATTTAATAGTTATTGCAAAAATAAATGATACATAATATAATTTATTGTTCCTTATTTATCTAGCATCCACGTGATGTTTATCATATTTTTTGCATGTTGACTTATCACATTTTCATCAGAGTTGTTGAAAGATATTGTTCAACCAAAAAAGTTTTACTGAATTTTTTTTTCATAGAAGTGGAGACAACATAATTAATAAAGGTTCGCAAAAAAGTGTCAAATCATACTTAGTGATTCAATTAGAAACTTTCCATTGATTGGAAGAACCAATTATAAACCCATATCATCTAAAGTGACATTGCAAAGTGGAAAGTGTGGATATATGTTCTTCACCTTTTTTGTCAATAATGTTGTGATCCAATGGTGATTTGACATCAATGTTAACTGGTGGTAAAATCTAACTTAATAACCTGAAGATATAGTATATATGAATACTTAATAACTCATATTGCATGTTGTTTAGAAATATTTGCTCATTTTCTTTTCATAATTTTCGAAAGTGAGGGAATGATGGTTCTCCAAAAAAGTTTATAATTTTCTCCATCAAACTTAATAATCATTTAATATATTTATTTATATATTTATAATTTTATTTTGTAATTCTCATATAATTTATGATTTTGAATTCCAAACTTAATAATAATTTAATATATTTATTTATTTATAATTTTATTCTTTTACCCTTCATCTTCTGTCATCTTTTTATATTTATTTATTATTTATTATTTATAATCTTCACTAACATGCTTATTTTAAATAATAATAATAATAAAAAATAAGATGAGACATTTTATAAGCATAACATATACACATCCGAAGAAAAAGGCCAAGATATCAAATTATAGAACAAATTTTAGTCTATTTTTTTTAATATATCTTCTTTTTTTTAATCTTTTAATGTATGAAATTATCTTTTAATTTTCTTCGATCATATTAATATTTTTTAACAATTTAATCTATTTAAAAATTATTTAATATTATTAATGTCAAAATATTTAATTATTATTTATTTTATTAATTATAAATACTAAAATAAAAATTTTAATAATTTAAAATTAAAAACAAACCTAAAAATATCCTAACTAAAATCGTCCATTGACGACTTAAAAAAACTCCATACAACTTCAAAAAAAAAAATTGTATATAGAAGTCGTTAATTAAAATAACAAAAAGTTATTAAAATCGTGTATTATTATTGTAAAACTTCTCTATTAAAAAACTTGTATTTTAAAATACGATTTTTTTAAAATAAAATCATATTCTAAAACACGATTTATATGCTTTTACAAATATTTTAAAATTTATACTTATGTTTGGTTTATTTAATAAAATGAGAGATAGAAGTAGGGGTGTGTATTGGATTAGATGACTCAAAGACTCCGATCCAATTCAATTTAAACAGATTAAGTTGAGTTTTATAAGTGATTTAGTCAATCCAATTCAACTCAATCTCAGGTTGAATAATGGGTTTCGGGTTTTGTATGTTCAACAAGTGAACTAATCCAATTTATTTAATAAAAAAATTAAATAATTTTTAATAATATATTTATTATTTAATTTATATTATTATATT